TGCATCCACTCTTTGAGCTCTCTCAAACCCTAATGTTCTGGATTAGCCAGCACCTCTACCTTTGTCTTTCTAATGTTATCTCACTGAATTATATTTTTTGAATAATATCTTAAACCCTAGTCTTCTTTATTATAACATTAATACCTCTACTATCTTTATCACTATGGGATTTGATTTGACATTTGCGTCTCTGTGCTAATAATGTGGTATGGCAACATGAACTTATGTACATACGTACGAAGTTCTACGTTGCAACTGACTTCTAATGCATAGAAACTCATAAATGTGTTCCTATAACCCCTATCTCATTCAAATGTATACAATGTCTATTTCATTTCATTGTTTAATATGCGTTAGTTTTACAATTCACTTCGTTAGATGGTAGAAAATCAAATTTGTTATTTATACAACATACTAATGTATGGTTCTGTTTGATCTTGTCATAAAAAGTTGTACTACTCACGACGATTGGCAAAATTACATTATGCATACTAACTAAATCAAATTATGTAGACAGTGGGAAAATATCTATCTATTTAGTGTAATAATCTGCTTTGTTTTACGTAACAGAACTGTCGAAACACTGATTGCATACAACATAATCAACAAGTGATTGGATGATAGTGTACAAAGCGCTAGGTGAAAATAGCATTTCAGTAGGCGGATGAAGTTATGGTACTTGACTATGGTTACTGACTATTGATCCAAACTATGTAGAAGAGTAAGTCTCTTCTCAAAGACAAATCAGCTGGAGCTGAGTTCAAACATGGAACTCTACTCAGTGGTTTAAAATTGAATCTCTTAACATCTAAGTCATTCAGTCCACCGTAATCCATGATGATATACGTCAAGGAAATTAATAAATACAGATATGAAAAAACAGATTTACATTGAAAATTCACTCACTAATCACTTTCAAATGAAAGTAACATTGTTTTTTTAAACTTTTCAACAAATCAATTTCATCATACTGTCAAACTATTAAACTACGTACAAAGTTCGAATTATTTGCTTGAAACAGTATAATAATCAATGTAAATGTAAGAGATTACGCATTTTATATTAAATTTATTCATATACTTTATAACTAACATTCCGAAAATGAAGATAAACACATGTAATACAGAGATTATCACATCGTTGGAAATAAAAAATGTAAATACTTATACAACTTTTTTTTCAGTTAGAGTTATGGAGATCAGTGTTCTTACATACTGAAATCATCAATCAATGGTTGTTAGACCAACAGTCGAAACCTGAAAGCACTATACGGCCGCATCGTCCTGATATGCGACTATTTATCAGCAATGCACATCTACGACTCCTGTTAGTAACTAACTATATTATACAGATAATCATCATAGTACTACTACTACTACTATTACTCACTTCATCTGGTGATATAAATGACCAACCACCTTGTTCAATAAATCCTTCTGGATCATCAAGAATAGTTTTCATTAGTTTAGGCCAATTCAGTGATTTCGATGCTTCAGCATAAAAGATATCACATGATCTGTAATGGATAAATTGAAAATTTTTATTATTGAATAATTAATTACTAGACAGAAGCGCCAACCATATCTCTCTTAATGTTCATCATCAATGAAAAAAACATCACCAGTTTGACAAACATATACATAATAACAGTTTATGTTATCCCGTAGTTGATACTGAGGAGTGTATCTGCATTCAATGTGATTCGCCTTGATAAAACCATTATATCACATAATTTATAGAACAGATGAGTTCTGTACCATATCAAGTATTGTATATGTTGAACAAGTTGGCACCTATCTGATTTAGCGCATCAGTAAGTATGTAACGTATTTTAATGTCTGCAGCAAAACGGAACGGATTTGAGTTCTAGTGTGAACATCAACACTGAAATATACAATTGCATTCAGGTATCAAATCTCAAACACGAAGAGATAGGCGTTTTTTAGATTTACTCCAAAATATACAGTGCAATAAAAAGCAGTTCAGGTTATCTAATTTTTGATACCATTTCTTGAATTCACATTCCCGTGAAAAACTTTGTCTTTATCTGATTGATTGCTATTACTGTTAATTCCCTAACTTTGTCATGTGCTCTAAAGATCGCTGCAGCTTACTTTATAAACAGAGTTGTTTGTTTTTCATATCTGATTTCTGTACGGGAATATCAACTTATTCTGAAGTTCAATTCCGTGTTAGAACAAGAACTACTGACGTTGAAATGCTTTTTGTGACAGACATCGAGAAGAATCGTCACTTGTATATGTAATGCGCTATCGTAGACCAACTGGCAACCTCATAAGACATAATCAGTGTCATGATCACACAAAACATAAATTAACGGAAAAAAAACTAACTGTATACAGGTGAATAAAAATTACACAACTTACAATAACCATTCTTTAACTAATTCCAAAGCAGTACTTGGTATAGAATTAATCATTGCTGGTTTTTTATGATAATCTTTAAATATAAATACCATATCAAATGTACGAATTGACAAGCTGACACGTTCTAACATAACAAATTCCACTTCTTCCAGTGTAACAACAAATGCCGGCAATTCAACAACACTAATTAATGCACTACTTGTAGGCATCAATAAGACAGTTGATCTGTGAAGAAAGAAAAAGAGAGAGAAAACAATAATAAAAGGAACAATAGAGCAATATCGATTTGAAGATCTTTCCTAACAGAGTGTATATCTCATCTCATACAACAAAAGAATATTAATGATGCAGAGAGCTGGGCATAGTACACTGATACACCACCATATCAGCGGGCAGATAGGAAATCATGAAAACAAAGTAGAAGTATCAATGATAATCAAGACAATCAATTTGAAAGATAAAAAGTAAGAAAGAATTTCAATATACCCAAGATCTATAGAGGAGAGAGAACAAGAAGTGAATTTGGCTGTGCCATTGGTTACAATGATTATGTGATTCACGTATAGATGAAGTGATAAGAAGTGAAGTAGTTGAGTCTTACTAGTGCTGATAACCTGGTGTCTGAAGAAATCTCGATACGGATACAGTAAACTCAACTGGCTTTTGCCAACTTGCGTCACTTATGGTGTAGGCGAGATATCCGTCTGCTAATCAAAGGACCGGTTTACAACGCAAGAAGTTTACTCCGTCTTGCCATATGGGTGTGGAACATGGCTGGTAAGAGTAGAGGATATTTGTAGGTTATTAACATTCGAAGCGTTGCTCATACATCCTGGAACAATTGAGTAAGCAATGCAGTTGTTAAGAAAAGAGTACTAAGTATAGGCTGAAAATCAATTGACGAAGTAGTGAATCTTCATCAGTTTAGCTGGTTAGGACATATGTTACGTATTCCCAACTACCAACTGTCTCGACTGGCGAAGTTGTTTGATGTAGGAGAAGGGTGAAAGAAAACCAGGGACATCCTGAACAAAACATGGCAGAAATCCATGCAGTCACTGACAAGTGGATTGAGCCATGTTGGTAGGTTAGACTGCCTGGTTAGGGTCCACGAGACGATTATGTAATCAATTATTTGTTAAATATTAAATCTATCCCAGTAAATTATTGAATACGTAGATTCAGGTTGGGGGAATTGTTCACAAAGAGTTAATTCACTCCATATTTTGTGTGTGTGTGTGTAGAGAGAGAGAGGTTAGCCTTGAATTGAAGTAGCAAGAACAAATCATACACCTATGTATGAGTGGATCCAAATGACGAATGATAAAACAAGATGGATTCTCCACTGTTAGCTACATACTACTGATTACATGATTTCTATGGTTACACTAAGCAATGAGAAATCTACATTTTCCATATAATAATACAATTAAGGTTGTACGGTTAGTTGCATTAAACGTTTAATGTAAGTAAAAATACAATAAATCCAATTAAATATTGACAAAATTTGTTTTGTGTTTTTCGCTTCTACGATAATTGAAATTAAACAGTAAATAAGCTTTCTGATTGATTTCTGTATTTTTATGTGTATGTGATTTGGATGAATTGATTGATCAAGTAAATGTTCAATGTGTTGAACAACATCCGGGTTTTTTTTCATGGATCATAAAATAAATAGTGCGTTCCAATGATAAACTCCAAATACACAAGTAAATAGTGAAATCCAATCAATCATCAATCAACAGTGACGTTGTTAGGAGATTCATCCAATATCCTAAAAGAATTATTGGTCAAATCCTATTGGTCGATTTCTGTTGGCCGAAATTATGGTCGTTTTAACTGTCAAAGTCAAATACTTCAATGTTGTCTCTTATTGGTCATCCGGACTATCAATGTCAGATCAAATATTACTTCCTATTGGTCGTCCTGAACTGTCAATGTCACAGAATTCAATGCTATTTCCTATTCGACCAAAATGTATAAATATGCATTATCTGTAACAGTTTATGACCACGACCAGGACCAGGGCTCGGTCCCGGATCCTGATTCTCTTCTGGGTTCGGACCTCGTACTTTCTGGATGCTTGTAGAACACATGTTCTACTTCATATCATGTCTTCTTGTTTTTGACTAAATATGGGGGTTGGGATAATCGGATTTGAGTAGCATGCCGTGTCGCCGGATTCTCGATCCTCGCCCTCCTTTACGACTAAGGTGAACTTGTAATAGTTCAAGTATATCGAGTTGACGTGCTTACGTCCAGGCGTAACAGACGTAGAACTACGTAAGTACGTACATGAGTTCAAGTTGCCGTACCATATTAGCACAGAGAGTCAATAGTAAGATGGAGTCGGGGAAATGAAGACTAACATTTTTACTAATCGATAAACACATTAAAATTGTTATATGAAATTTAAAATAAATCACTTACCGGAAAGGACAACCATGAAATCCTAATTCACGGAATGGTGTTTCAAATTCTAAATCATAACGACGTGCTAAATTTTCTGATCTATCTACAAATGAACGAAATGCTGTTTTAATTTGTTCTCTCATTTCACGTTCTCTTTGTTCCGCTTCCAAATCGTCACGATCTTGCATACGTGAATGTGTTTTACTCAAATCTGTAGTTAATTCACCAACTTCTGTATAGAATTGAATATCAGTATGTTTTTTCTTGCCATACATAATTGCGTTCTATAGATTTGAAGTGTGGAAGAAAAGTGAAGAGTTGTTTCACACATTCATAATAAACTATTACATCACAGATATGTTTAGAATTTGTTACGCTCGTCTCTAGGTATGCTTAAATTATTACGAGTTCATCTTAGTCGAATAACGAGAACAAAATAATGAACCAGCGTCCAGGTAGGCTACTCTGATCCCTTGACTAAATTGTATCAGCAAGAAGTCTTGATATAGTGTAGAAAGTGTATTCTAAAAACACCCAGCCAGCACACAATAAATGCAAGCACTCAAATTGCGTTTATTTATACTCGCCATAGAGACGTCATTGGGACAGTCACAAAAATAGCACACTATAATGACACAGTATACAATCACAGCCAAGGATTTTTCTGGTGGGAAATGTGATCTCAAGGTCAACTGATCGGTTCATGAAATAAATCCAAGTTAAAGATACTTATCAAGCGATTTCTGGGGATCTAACATCCCCAACAGAATTGGGTTAAACAAGTTAGCTATCGAGTAGTAGTGCGGTAGTAGTAGGAGTAGCAGTGGATGGACTTTGCTTTAAAGCAGAATACTTTGTGACTGATGGATACCAACTCAGCTAGTTAGTCATCTACAATGTAGAACTTCGTACGTAAGTACATCAGTTCAAGTTGCCATACCACATTAGCATACAGAGATCAAATTGTCAATTCGAATCCCATAGTTACGGATGTATTAGTGGTAATTGAGAAAATTAGGGTTCGAAAATATGACTCGAGAAGTTTATCCCCGTGAAATAAATTTAAAAAGAGAAAGATAACTGGTAATGAGGAATTCAGAAGATGATACCAGCTGGCTATCACAAAGTAGACTTTGAACGTACATCCTACTGATTCAATATGAGGTGCTTTGAACAGTAAGACAACGCTTCTCTCAAGTGAAAAAAGGCGTACAAATCATCACCAAGTTGTTATGTATGGTAAGCACTTGACCTACAAATATAACACACACATATATATATGTATGATGCGAAACATGTTTACCTCGTGTATAGAATAAACTTGTAACATACTAAGCTAAATCCAGACAGACAGACAGATACAACGCAGCACTTCGTACATAAGTACGTCAGTTCAGGTTGCCATACCACGTCAGCACAGAGACGTAACTGTCAATTAGAACTTTCTACAAACGGATGAACCGTACATCGATTATCATAAATACTATAAACGTATGCTTTAAAAAAATAAGGCAATACGGAGGTGAGATGGGCTATTTCAAGAGTAAACTATTCTGATGATAAATGAAGAACTATTTCGTAAAAAAATCACTCATTTAACATACCTTTAAATGAAAATGCAATAAAATAATCATTTCACCATCACATGGTTGATAGAATGCATGACGAATATTATTATACAAAATATCCACTTGATCACCACGAACTGAAGTGAAACGGAAACCATTTGAATGTGCCTCTAATGTACCTAAAGAATAAATACAAACAGAATAAAACAACAACATTGTATGATTGTTGATTTTGTCAATTCAGTTGACAGTAGATCACTATTCAGTTAGTTACAGCGTAAAACTTTGTACGTACGTACATTAGGTGTAAGTTACGATACCACATATTAGCACAGAGACGCAATTGTCAATTCAAATCCAATAGTAGTATAGGTAGCGAGAGCATTAGTTGTAATCAAAAAGATTAGGATTCGAAGAAATCATTCAAGAAGTATAATCCAGTGAAATAAACTTAAAGAAATAAAGTTGATGAGGAATTCAGAAGATTAGGATTTGAGACAAGACAAAGAGTGGATGCATCTGCACCATTTCAAACGATTTTGAGCCATGTTGTTCAAGGACTCTCTAACCATCGGTTATTTGCCTCATGGACTACAACCATGTAGTCTACACCTACTAATATAACCAGGTAGTCTACACTGTGTACTGTGTACAGTAGTAATAGTAGTAGTGTGGTGCGAGCTACTTATAAGTAGTATATGACGTGAGTGTCAAAGTAATGTCTGGCAGCAGAAGATGGGGGAAGATCAAGAAAGGAAGAGTTAGAACACACTGTAATTTGTATGAACAGTGACAATGGATTGATGTTTGGCAACATGAACAGTCCAGTTCTATATGATGAACTGATATTTTGCAAATTAACGATTTACGATATGGTTTTCCGATTTTACTGAGTAACTCTGTAATTTTCATTAAATACAATTCGGTTGCCCCACCTGTGTTCTCCTTCACTACAGTAGTACTAATTTATTTGGCCTGATAACACCTAATATCAACGATTCCTTTACTTTATTCCTTAACTTCATATCACCCAGAAGAAACAACAACTTAATCCAACCAACAGGGTTATGTTCAATAATTTTTCAATAACTCATTAAACACATACATATGTACATACATACAGGTGAATTTCACCTACCTGTAATTCTTTTCGATGCAACATTTGGTCGAATGTATAAATCTTTTAAACGAAAAGAACCTTTTGCATGATCCACAACAAGATCATCTTGTTCAACAAGATTTGCACGTTCTTTCTCTTCGGCTTCACGTGAACGAAAACGTTTTAATACTTCTTTAATAATACGATATGCATTATTTAAATTAGTTGATGGTATACTAACTTCACCATGTCGACGTACATTGGAAGCACGATATGTCATCTCTTTTACATAAGTTGATTCAGGACTCTAAAAAAAAATTAAAATTATTATAGAATACACAATATATTTACATAGATCGCAGAGTAGTTGGACAAAAGAAAATGAAAGTTGGTAGAAAATAACACTTTTGACTATTACGTAACGTTACATTGAGTTCAAGGCTGATTTTCAATTGAATATAAGTTGGAATTTAGTCAAATGATGGTGTAATTTAGAATTTGGCACACTGAAGCATCGTCAGTCAGTCAGTACGTAGAACTTCGTACGTAAGTACATCAGTTCATGTTGCCATATCACATCAGCACAGAGATATAATTTTCCATTCAAATCCAATAGTAGTAGAGGTAGTAAAAGTATTAGAAGTAATCGGAGAGATTAGGCTTAAAAGTTGTATCATACACTATTTATACACAGTGATGTGAAATTGTCAGGTTGAATGTCAACATGCTAGAAGTAGTAACAATACTCATGATAATAGAAAGGATTAAAAGTGTCGCGAAAATAATTTGATAAAATAATAAAAAAAATTTGGACGGGAAAATAAAAGAATGAAACCGCTCTCGTCATTGAAAAATGATTTCGAGCTAAGTCTCTTAACCATTTCGGTTGTGACAATTAAGCAAACCAAATGACAGTACAGCATGATTCCAATTCAAGTCAGTAGCAGTATGAATCTGATGACCAGGTCCTGCGAACTGACTAAGTTACGCTTCAAACGAGTAAACAAATACTTTTCTGTTGTATCAGACAATCATAAGACAAAATTCATCAAATAAGTTTGATTATCTCATTCGGATAAAAATAAATTGAAGAGAAGTCAGTCAATCAGTCAGTCAGTTACAATGTAGAACTTCACATGTGCGTACATCAGTTCAGGTTGACATACCAATCTCACAGTAGTAGAGATAGCAGAAGTATTACCGGGACTAAAGAAGAGTAGGGTTCGAAGATATCATTGAAGAAGAGAAAGAAACTTTCCATTTGAACGAAAAAAATAAAGTTCAGTGAAAATCTTGGTTATTCGTAGATGTGCACTGCTGAGGAGTCCCATATCAGGACGAAACGGCCGCCCAGTGCTTCCAGGTTTCTAATGGTGGTCTAACATTGATCGATTCATGGTTTCAAAAATGTGTAACATATTTTATTATCAAACATCTTCAATGCTTGAACTCATTTTTTCCAATTTTTCTCTTCGAAATGAATTATTACAACAAAATGGCAAACTCCGCCCCTAAGTAATTTCACTTTCTATCAATCTAGGTCATTGTGTATTAACCCCTCTATTATATAATCAGTAAAATATAGAAAAAAACTTACTTGAAAATTAGCTGTATCTTTTACACCGACTAATGCACCGGGATGATGAAAATTTATACGTAAATATGTATAATCCGCTTCAATTGATGTTGAGACATTTTTTATTGTACTAATATGAAATGGTGTAGGCAATCCAAAGATGGGCAAAATCACTGTTTCATATTTTTTATCTAAACAAAAACAGGCCAATAGTAAGTGAATAAAAACAAAATCGACACAGAGGTGATTCATTTACATAAATTATTATGCTACTTCAAATTTTTTCGAAACTCCGCCTAGAACCCTCCTTCCTAAGGTGGTTACTATCAGTCCCTAATCAGTGGATAAAGGAAGAGGGTTGGCCATGGGGTTAGTGACCCCTAATCCCGGTAGAACAAAGAAACACTAGCCAGAACAAGTAATTTACTGGTCGACGTCCTAATCTCCCCATTGGGGGGAACAGGCGTAAGTACGTAAGTTATAATTTCCGACTGTAATCTACTGCAAACACAAGTTACTTGTTTATATTAAACAAGTGTGATGTTTTCGAACTGTACTTTCCCAAACCAAGTTAAAAAGTCTCGGAACAGTTGGAATTTCGAAGGCGTACAATCTATCATGATATTGATTTGTTACTGACAGAGACCTGATATCCCTTTTATTTAGTCAGTCAGTTAGTCGGTTGAACATAGAGCGTGACGGGTACGTACTTCAGTTTAAGTTACCATACAGGGATTTGGTTGTGACCGATTTAGTCTCATGCGTTTACGGGTATGAGGGGGGATGTTACTTCACGGCTGCCTACACCGTGGAAGGACTCCGGTTATCAGAAGGGGCATCGGCTTCGTGACTTCCGAAGGAATTCGTCTTTCATCATGAGACATCATAACTCTTCTATAAATGAGGACCTCCTAACTCCCAGGGAAGCGTTTAAATGGTTTGAATTATATTTTTTATCTGTATTCGCTATACCGTATTAGCAGAAAGAACGAAGATCAACTTCCATTGTAGTAGAGTGAGTAGCCTAGTACAGATTACGGATTGTTGAAGATAAGATTCACGAAAATGGAAAACAATGACCAATTTTTTCTGAAAAAGAAACACAAAGTCATGGGACATTCTAGGCGACCAGTCCGGTGGACGGTTGAAAAAGATAAAACTGGCAGTCAATTAATTATATTGAAAATGTCCAATAATGAAATTCGAAGAAGTCAGTCAGTCAGTTAGATGCAACGTAGAACTTCGTACGTAAGTACATCAGTTCAGGTTGCCATACCACATCAGCACAGAGATATAATTGTCGATTCAAAATCCAACAGTAGTAGAAGAAGTAAAGGTTTTAGAAGTAATCGGAGAGGTTAGGATTAGAAGATATTATTCAAGAAGTATGATTCAGTGTGAAAAGTTTAGAAAGTCAAAACTAAAGGTGTTCAACAATCCAGAAGATTAAGATTTGAGAGAACACAAAGAATAAATGCACCGGCGCCATTGCGAACGATTTTGAGCCATGTCGTTCAAGGTCTCTAACCATCGATTATTATCTTCTCGCGGACCCCAACCAGGTAGTCGACAATTACCGACATGGCTAAGTCCATTCGTCAATGACTTCATGGATTTATGCCATGTTTTGGTTTGGCCGCCCTTAGCTTTCTTCCAACCTACTCCTACACTACAAAACAAAGCTCGTCGAGGCAGTCGGTCGTTCGGCATACGCAACACATGTCCTAACTACCTCAACTGATGAAGTTTCATTACTTCATCTATTGATCTGCCATTCTTACCTACCACCCGATTCCTAATAACAGCGTTGCTCACTCGGGTGTCCCACGATATACGAGCAATGCTTCGAAGACACCTATGATCGAAAACCAATAACCGACGAGTATCTTCTACTCTCATTGGCCATGTTTCACAGCCATAAAGTAAGACGGAGCGAACCACTGCGCAGTACACTCGTCCTTTAGTCAGCAAACGGATATCTCGCCTACGCCATAAGTGACGCAGGTTGGCAAAAGCCAATCGAGCCCTCTGTATCCGTGCTGAAATTTCATCAGTCACCAGGCTATCGGCGCTGATGAGACTCCCCAGATAAGTGAAGTGATCAACACGCTCGACTACTTCACTCCCTATCACTAGTTCAGATGCCGATGAAACCCAGTCTTGAAGATAAGATTCACAAAAATATAAATGAATGAACTAAATTTTTTTTTAAGAAAACACTAGATCATGTGGAATTCTAGGTGACCAGTCCGGTAGACTGTTGAAACAGATAAAACTGCCAGTCAATTAATGATATTGTAAAATGTCCATGAAGGAAATTCGAAGAAGTCTGTGACGAATTTATCTCAACTTATTTATCATAAACATTGATTTTCTAGGCGTTGAAAGTGTTTATTATTTTCCAGCTACTCTTAGATCATAACATAAATTTATCATCATATACAAAGGGAAACTTACCAACAAATAGACGAAGTTTACGTACATCATCTTCTTTAGGCATTTGACCAGCTCCCTTATATGCAATGCTCGACTTCATTTTAGTGTCTAAATTTGTATCAGTTTTTAATCCAGTTAAACGATTAGTAGAACTTCTAATAAGTTCTTGAAATAAATCTCTTCGACGACTCATACGTTTCTCTTCAGCAGTTTGTTCACTCTTAAAGAAGGAAGATATATAAAAAAGTGTGCATGGGAGAGGTGGTAGAATAAAATGATGTATGCAATGTGGACAAGTCTAACTAAATAGTTAATTCAACGTTCACTTACTAGATTGTGCAACCATTCTCAACAGTCAACGTTCGAGATTATAAAGGTTATGAACAACTTTTGTGCAACATTAAGAAATCTAAATATTACGCACCCAGTGCGAATCTTGAGAGTTCTCAGTTTAGAATTAGAGTCGGACAACTGATGAAAACCAATGAGCTTTCTACTACTCGGTTTTTTTTCTAATAAATCTCAACTTAGGATCGAAATCTGTGATGAATTAGGAAATAACCGTGGCAGATGGCTGGAAACACCTCGCTAGATGAAATAGGGAATCAAAACTAGGAATGATTCGACAGATCACTATCACCAAATGAGATAATATTCTTGCATATACATAGATACTGCATTAAAAATTGGGCGTAACCATTAGGGTTGATCGTTTTTAAACTATTTAACATACTATAAAACAGATAACAGGCTATCTGTCATGAAAAAAGAGCAATATCACATGTAGATATAACACGTAGATAACAAGTTGAAAAAAATAAGACAATACGATGTAGAAATGCCTTTGCATCAGTCACTTATTTATATTCAGATTATTTACCAAACATTTGAGATGTTAATAGAAGTCAGTGAGTGAGTGATACAGCTCCATTGTCCATACTGTGAAGTAGTAGTGTGGTGCGCGCTACTTATAAGTAGTGTAGTGTAAACGTAATGTCTGGCAGCAGAAGATGGGGGAAGATCAAGAAAGGGAGAGTGAGAACACAATGGAATTTGTATGAAACGCATGAATAGTGAAATGTCAGACAATGGATTGATGAATTGGATTGAAGATTTGCAAATTAACGGTTCACGATATGGTTTTCCTATTTTACTGAGTAACTCTGTAATTTTCGTTAAATACAATTTGGTTGCCCTTACCTGTGTTATCCTTCACTACAGTAGGATAGGGCGATCATATACACACAAATAGGTAAACTTTAAAAATATTACAATGATGAGTGAACACTATCTACCACATATCTAAATTACTTACTAATGTTATTCAATCAGTCAGTCAGCCACTATGTAGAACTTCGTACGTACGTACGTACATCAGTTCAAGTTGCCTTACCTCGGTAGTACAGTCGACTACAGTCGACTCAAATCCCATAGAGGTAGATGTAGTAGAAGTATCAGCGTTAATCAAAAAGATTATGACAAGCTTTTAAACTTTTAGCTTCACTCTCCAAACGGCCTTACCGCCGGAAACGGAAATTCATGGGGTAAAGTTGGGTGCGACAATTTTATGGTTGACCTCTTCCTTCCGTTGTGAGAAGGCAGCATTGCTGCAGATGCTGGTTGTCCGAGAGAAACACCTTACTAATGTCACACCCCTCTACAGTCAGCAGTACGAATTACCTCTCAAACCTTCAGTAGCTGATTTTAGTCTAACCGTTCTCCAATCGACCTGCTTGGTATGGTAGAACCTACAGGAACATATGTCCCAGCCAATATAGCTAGGTTGAGTCATCACGATAGGCAAGCGCAACCACTACACGTCAAGGTAGCAGCTACGGTCGAGACTACTGTTATTATTATTGTGATGATTTAAAATGGACACCATTAAGGATAATAAATGAGAATACGCTTGCCTATTCTTTCTCCTTTTATCCAACCACTACCTTACCATCAATATATTGAGAGAGAAAATCATCATTAAACGCGTATAATCATATGTAAAATTCAATTATTCACTTAGGTGGATGATTGTGGTGGTGTTTCGCTATCTGAGCTGGATGCTTTGGCTGTGGCGTTTTGATTGTTCTTCTGAACAACATCACTTCACTTATATCTGAAGTTTTTGTCGATGATGAAAGCTCCACAACCAAAACATTCAGCTCAGAGAATGAAACACCACTGAAATTAGTTATTCACTGCTTACTCGTGTTTTCTGTTCAATAATAGCTCGACGATGTCCACGACCTAATAATTCTTGTGCAGCATTTACACCAACATTACTATCTCCATTTGGAATTGATTGTTTTTTAGAAGTAGCAATGGAACTAGTTCCATTAGTTGAACGTGTATTCTGTGAACGTTTTCCTCGACTAGAATCATGTTTACTTTTCACTTCTTCTTCTTCCTCATCATCTTCATCGCCTGCATTGTCTTCATCCTCCTCCTCTTCCTCTTCTTCTTCTTCTTTGATATACAAACTGATTGATTTTGGACGACGTTTAGCAGATAATGTATATACTAAATTCTCTCCAGTACTTCCAACACCCACAGCTAATACATCACCTAACCATAGAGCATAATTTTTTTCAGCTTGAGATTTACCAAGATTATTAATTAAATTCTATGAGTGAAAAAAATAAATAAACGAACAGAGATAAAACAACAACACTAAAAATTATTTTTTTGATGAAACAAGTTCAAGTGAAAAATGTATTTAATTTACACATGTCATGTCATGTCACATTATGTAGCCATTGATTGCTGTTGTTAGAGTACAAAGGACACATCAAAATTATAATTAATGAAAAAATGTCTTCAAAATAATAATAATTATTATTATTATTATAGTGTAGTGAACGAGAACACAGGTCGGGCAACCGAATTGTATTTGACGAAAATTACAGAGTTACTCAGTAAAATCGGAAAACCATATCGTAAATTGTTAATTTGCAAAATATCAGTTCATCATATCGAACTGGACTGTTCCTGTTGCAAAACATCAATCCATTGTTACTATTCATGCGTTTCATACAAATTCCATTGTGATCTAACTCTTCCTTTCTTGATCTTCCTCCATCTTCTGCTGCCAGACATTACGTTTACAGTCACGTCATATACTACTTATAAGTAGATCGCACCACAATAGTAATAGTAATGTAAGGGATACTACACCTAACTCAGGTCTCATATGGTTGAAAAATGAAAATTTTCGGTATCACGAAAAAATCATTACCCGACTAGAGACAAAGGGTAATAAGAGTGTTTGAGCTTATTTTCATCGAGCTGGGTTGCATCTCTTGCTATCCTATGCCATACTATATGTACACCATATGCTATACTGTTATATAGAGCTGAAGGCTTTCTATGAGACCAGAGGTTCGCTGTGAACATTGTGGATGGCTTGGCATTACTTTGGCAAGCATTGCTAGGTCATTTCTCGTCAAAGTCTCTGGAGGTCCAGAAGCGTTTCATTCAGTCAGGCGTTAATAGACGTTTCTCAGAAACATGCAGAAAATGCAGAATCACGTGTCATGGCTTCGATAAAATATTTACCTATACTGCTACTATATTCATTATGCTTTCAGGAATTCCTAGAAAATTTATATACCCTCGTTTCTCGTACATGACCTAACCTTTAAGTAAAACTTATAGTAACGGTCAGCGTGTTCTCTTTCACTTCAGCCGCAGTGTGAGGTTGTAGGAACAGGCCAGGAAGACAGTTTGAGCGCATCTATGGAACTCGACCGTAGCTGCCACCTTGACGTGGTGGTAAAGCTTGATTGTCGTGATGAGCAAACAGAGTCATATTGTCTGGAACATATGTTCGTGTAGGTTCTACAATGCCAGGTAGGTCGGTTGGATGACAGTACGACTAAAGGCAACAACTCAAGGTCTGAAGGTTAAGCTGTACTGCTAGCTGTAGGGACGTGTGATAGTAGTAAGGTGTTTCCCATAGATAACCAGCATTTGCAGCAATACCACCTTCTTACAACAGAAGGAAGGGGTTAGAAAAGGCTGACTCTAGAAACGTCACGCCTCACTGTACCCCACGGATTTCCGTCTCCGGCGTTGGGATCTTATGAAGAGCGGAGCTAACACTTCGAAAATTTTCCATGAGAAGGCCGTGCGTGACCAACCTCAAACAGTTGTCCCTTGAGCTCTGCAGTCATGCTCCTGGGTCGCTAAGACCAATGCTAATCCAACTTCCTATTAGCTTCCTACAGAAGCACCATTTCGTGGTGTAGACAGCCGGTAAGCAACATCCGCCTTCATATCCACAACCGCACATGCGATTAACTTGGTATCTATGACAGGACTTATTAATATACCAGTAAACTCATCATTTTATGCTATAAACATTATCCAACATTAAGTAAGACGAAAGTAGGGTAGCGTAAACACTGAGCAAAACTTTCAATGGTTTGATAATGAAATCAGTTTCATGCAAAGTACGTTTATGTGCCTGTATAATATACACGTAAACTTAGGTTAACTTAATATTCATACATACAGAAACCTACACAAATATATATATATATATATATATATATATATATATATATATATCGGTAGGCACAAATCCATTTTAAATCACTAACTAACTAACCTGAAAGCCTAAATTAAAATTCAATGTCATTCCTCGACGAAATGTTGATGTGGATTTAGTTGATAATAATAAATTACTGTCACGAAATTCAATTCCTGTTACAAATCTTTGAAAATAAAAAAATAAAATTACGATTCAACATAATATGTAAGTAGTAGTAGTAGTAAGTAGTAATTAAGTAATCAATAAATCAGAATTTTTTTCATATGATAACAATTAGAATAGATTGATATTGTGAAATATGTTCAAGTTTATTCAAATTCTGTCTACCATAGAATATTTTCAACAAATGAACAAACTTTTAACAATTAAGTGACCAGAAATAACAAGGAAACAGAACGCAATAAAAGTGTTTGATTAATTTAAAATATGATTCAATTGATAATTTCTTGTAAATCTGATAGGATATTCACAAAATATCCTACGAAGAATTATTTTGTAAGTGTAAATCCTATTGGCCGATGATTCCTATTGGTCAATATTATGGTCGTCCTAACTATCAATGTTGTTTCTTATTCGACCTAACTGTATAAATACGCGTTATCTGTAACGTTGTATGAGCCGGATTCTTAGTCCGGGATCGTTGCCTTCTTCTGGACTTGGACCTCGTATTTTCTGGATGTTTGTAGAATACAAGTTCTACTTCATATTAAGTCTTCTTCTTTCACATAATAGGGGTTGGGACACTCGGATTAGAGTAGCTTGTCGTGTCCCCGGATCCTTGATCCTCTCTCCAAAGGCTTAACCGCTTAACGGTCTTGCGTTCAATTCCGACTTGCGGGGTCGTGGATGTGCACTGCTGATGAGTCCCGTACTAGGATGAAACAGCTGTCCAGGGCAACCAGGTTCTTAACGGTGGTATAACACTGGACGACTCATGATTTATAATGAAAATGAACAATCGCGCCAACCCTATAATGACAGTTACCATTTGACAGATCCAAACCAGGATTCAGGCCATAAACAATTCAAGCATCAAGATAATTGGCAAGTTGTTAAATTTCCTGCTTTCAAGTCGAAGTGGAGCTCTAAGCAGTAACTTCCCTTCATACATGTAACGAATGGATATAGTAGTAGAGATTATTAATACACTACACTTAACGATCTGTAACAAAGACGGTTGAAAAATTGATACATGAGCTGTTAAAATGTCGCCCTCTTATTCAACTTGGACATCGTAGTCATTAAGAGCTTAAGTGGATCTTTAAAAAAGGTCAGGGAATGAGAATAGTACTTTCGTATCAGTCAGTCATTCAGATGCAACGTAGAACTTTGTACATAAGTACATCAGTTCATGTTGCCATACCACATCAGCACAGAGAAGTAATCGTCAATTCAAATCTAATAGTAGAAGAGGTAGTAAGGGAATTAGAAGTAATCGGAGAGGGTAGGATTAGAAGATACTATTCAGGAAGTATGATTCAGTGAGAAAAGTTTAGAGAGTCGAAACTAGAGGGGTTGAAGAATCCAGAAGATTAGGATTTGAGAGAACACAAAGAATAAATGCACCGGTGCCATTGCGAACGATTTTGATCCATATCATTCAAGGTCTCTAACCATCGATTATTATCATCTCGCGGACCCCAACCAGGCAGTCGACAATTACCGACATGGCTCAGTCCACTAGTCAATGACTTCATGGATTTCTGCCATGTTTTGGTTTGGCCGCCCCTAACTTTCTTCCAACCTACTCCTACACCACAAAACAAAGTTCGTCGAGGCAGTCGGTGGTTCGGCATACGCAAGACATGTCCCAACCACCTCAACTGATGAAGTTTCACCACTTCATCGATTGATCTGCCATCCTTACCTAGTACTCGTTTCCTAACGACAGCATTGCTCACTCGGGTGTCCCACGATATACGAGCAATGCTTCGAAGACACCTATGATCGAAAACCAGTAACCTACGAATATCTTCTACTCTCACTGGCCATGTTTCACAGCCATATAGTAAGATGGAGCGAACTGCTGCACAGTACACTCGTCCTTTAGTCAGCAAACGGATATCACGTCTACGCCATAAGTGACGCAGGTTGGCAAAAGCCAATCGAGCCTTCTGTATCCGAGCTGAGATTTCGTCAGTCACCAGGCCATCGGCACTGATGAGACTCCCAAGGTAAGTGAAGCGGTCTACACGTTCGACTACTTCACTCCCTATCACTAGTTCAGGTGCCGATGCAACCCAATCTTGAAGCAACATTTTGCATTTCGAGGGGGAAAACCGCATCCCGAACATGCTTGCAATGTTGCTTAAGGTAGTCAGAAGACTCTGCATTTTGTCAGCGTCTTCACCAAGTAGGACAATGTCATCGGCATATTCTAAGTCAATAAGCGAGCCATCTGGTAAAAGGTCTACTCCTGAAAATTCAGACGAGGTTAATGTTATGTCTAGGAGCATGTCTATGATAAAATTAAACAAGAATGGAGAAAGTGGACATCCCTGACGGACACCACTTGATGTAGAGAATTCCGGTGACAGTTCGCCATAAGCCCTCACTCGACCAGTGGTGTTCGAGTAAAGAGCTTGTATAAGGTTAATGTACTTCTTTGGTACACCTTTCAATGACAGACACTGTCACAGAACCTTACGATCAACAGAGTCAAATGCCGCCTTAAGGTCCAGGAAAACAACTATTGTAGGACGCCTAAATGTGTGTCTATGTTCCAGGACCTGTCTGAGTGTGAAGACGTGGTCTATACAGGCACGTCCAGGTCGAAAACCAGCCTGGTTTTCTCGAGTCTGCTCTTCACGAGCTTTCGTTAAGCGTCGAAGTATTATTGAGGCCAGTATTTTAGATACTATATTAGTTAAACTTATTCCTCTGTGATTGTCACAAGAAGACTTTTGTCCTTTCTTATAGATTGGGACAATCAAAAATTGAGACCAGTCGGATGGGATTGCGTCCAGTTCCCAGATTCTACCTAAGATCTCAGTCAACCTAGCTGCTAAAACTGGACCACCATCCTTAAATATCTCAGGGGTCAGTCTATCAGGACCTGCAGCTCGTCCTCGCTTCAGATTTCCTAAAGCTTTTTCAACGTCATTAAGACTAGGGGGACTTAGGTCGATTTGCCATTCAGGATGACTGGAGATCGTGGGTAACTGAAGAGTGGCTCGAGGCCAGTTGAACTGATCCCTAAAGTGTTCTGCCCATCGATCCAGTCTTCTGGATTGGGAATGGATAATAAGACCATCCTTTTCCGAGATAGTCTCACTCACATTCGGGTTCCTAATACCGGTTTCTTTAATAAGGCGGAAAAGTTGTCTACTGTTGCCTATCGCCGCTGCCTTTTCCATCGCTTTTGCTTTCGTATAAACAAACAACTTTTCCTATCGACCTCGAAACGTTGTAGAAAACAAAACTAGCATGCTATGTAAATGCAACAAATTTTACTAGACTATCAGTGAAAATTAATATTAACGAAAATCATTTACCCTAAGGTCAAGATGTCATTGCAAAATTTAATTAAGTGTGACTACAGTTACTAACAATTCAAAAACAACAGAGAGTAATGAATGAGTACATACATAGTCATCTATCATGCCTGAAAGGTAATAGAAATACAGTTGCGAATTGTACACATGCCATAAAAGTCGACTAAACTCCATGATAACAAGTACAAGTTTAATTTTCTTGGCTTTTCTACTTTGTGAAAGTTAATAGTACTACAACCTGGCTGTTTAAATAGCACATCACAGTTCGTACGTGTAGTAAGATTTTTAAAGTCAAATACTTCGACTGATAAACAAAGCCTTTGATAAAAATCAGTATATATATGGTGTTTCAAGTTGAACCGAACCAAAGAGTTTACCATAATCTTCCACACATACTTGCTGACCACTTTAAGGAAATGAAGAAATATCACAGATTTTCGAAAAATATTACACACAGTGCTATACTAACCCATAATTGCGTAGGAGATTTTCAGCTAATTTAGGACGTTCTGTTGACACTTTATTAGAAATAGCTTGACAGAAATCTGATATTTTAACACCTATAAAAATGAAAAAAAAGTAGTACATTTTATTTTGATATTGAGATCTAAATTATCTTACAAACTTGTGGTGTACAAAGACGTCTTTACATTTTCAAACATATATATATATATATATATATATATATATATATATATATATAACGTGACAATTCTATGTTGAAGCAGAGTGGTTGGAAGGTGAAACAGAGTTGATTTGCTTAACCGTAAGTTTTGGCAACTTCTTGTCCCGGGTAGCGCAAAAAAGCAAATCTTGTTGAGATAGATTAGAAACAAAAAGTATTTGGCATAAACATATCTATAGTTCCTTCGAAAATACGGCGAAAAAAATTAAATAAGAGGTATCTTTCGTCACCGTAAAAGTGAAAGATGTCTTGGGTGGGGAACTTACGTACGCAAAAGCGAAAATATATGTTTATCAAAAGAGACCGTCAAAACAGTGAGTTATTTCAAGCAACTTAATTATTTACACTACCAAATTCGAACCCCATTCTCTGTGATTACTGTAAATACTTTTAATACCTGTACTACAATGGGATTTGAATTGACGATTGCATCTCTGCGCTAATGTGCTATGGCAACCTGAACTGATGTACGTACGTGTTAGTGGGACATAGATGAAATTTAAAGCATGATTACGTCACTGCGCGCTGATTGGCTAATTTCCTACCCAATCAGCGCCTGATCGAAGCTTGGAGAACAGGATGGAAAATTCTCGTATTATTAGCTGCATGCTGATTGGTCACATCCAGTCCAGTCGATCACGTGAATTTCCTTCCAGAAGTTTTCTCATGCAAAGGCTATAAATAGACTAGCATTGTATTTATCTTTGCCTTCTTAGCCTTCTAGCCTTCTTCGCTTTCAAGCCTTTTTGCCTTGGCTTTCGCCATCACCTCCAGCTTCTTTTCCTTGCTATTTTGGAATACAATCCTTCCTGTTCAACCGTGTTTTGATTTGTGTTACTTGTCCAGTGTTTTGTGTCAAGAATACTAAGCAATAAGATTTAGCCGGGAAATATCGTAAGCAACCGTTACAACAGTGGCGACGGAGAAAAAGAAAAAAAAATTTTTCAAGATGCCTATTTCAGATGATCAGCTTAACCGAATACTACAACAACAGCAAGCACAATTAGATGCACAAATGCGGTTGTTGGAGACCCTAACTCAACAGCTCAACATCCAGTGCTCGAGTCCACATACTATTTTAAATACGTCTTGTGAAGCAGTGGCAAACAGCATACCAGAATTCGTCTATAATCCTGAATGTGGAAATACTTTTCTGACGTGGTTCAAGCGTTGGGAAGATACATTTAGAATTGAATTCGGTAAACAAGATGATGCATGGAAGACTCGATTGTTGCTGCGTAAGTTGGGAAGCAATGAGTATGAACGTTACGCTGACCACATATTACCGAAGTTACCTCGAGAGCTCAGTTTCGAGGAGACAGTAACTCAGCTGTCAGATATTTTCAGCGAATCAGCATCATTGTTTAGTATGAGATATCATTGTCTAAATCTGGTGAAACACGAAGATGATGAATATGCGGTTCTTGCAGACGTCGTCAACAGAGAATGTGAACGGTTCAAGTTACGCTCGTTGACGGAAGACCAATTTAAATGCTTAATATTCATCAAAGCTCTTCAGTCACCGCAAGATGCTGAAACCAGAACTAGACTTTTGATTCGAATGGACCAAGACCCTAACGTCACACTCAGAACATTGATAGATGAGTGTAAACGCCTACAAAGTATCAGGCACGACAACATGTTGATTGAACAGGTAAATCCCAATTTAACCAGCAGTAGTGTCAATGCTATTACTAGGTTAAAAGTCCAGAAGCCGATAGCATCTCGTAACAAACCAACGACGGCATGTTGGTTACGTGGTGATTGGCACTACGTACGATTTTGTCCATTTAAAAAACATAAATGTCAGATGTGCCATAAACGTGGACATAAAGAAGGCCATTGCCAACCAAATCGTACGTCTCAGTCCAAGAAGAAGCGCAAACGTACTCGACATGTGGTGAAATCAGCCGAGTCTAAATCACTTTCTCTCGTAGCTGCTTTTAAAACAGAATATGCCGTTCGGAAAAAGTATGTTACTATCCAGATGAACGGTGCATCAGCTCGTTTCCAAATCGACACGGCATCAGATATCACCTTAATGTCTAGAGAAACGTACAACATGCTGGGAAAACCGCCAATGAAGCCATCTAAGAAAACAGCTAAAAGCGCTTCAGGTGGTGTGTTAAAACTGGTTGGTGAGATGCAGTGTGAATTTTCCTTCAACGGGAAAAAATGCACAGGAATATGCTATCTGACAGAACGGCCAACCCTTGATCTTCTTGGTCTAGATATGCTGGAAAAACTGGGAATAATGGATTTACCCATTAACAGTATCTGCAGCGTATCGTGTTCATCGTTGGACACCCCGATACTCAAAAAGAAGACAGGTGAAAGGTTACAAGATAAACGGAAGAGGAAGTCAGCCACTGTTTTTCAGAATAGCCTTGGCCGCTGTACGAATATGAAAGCTAACCTACCAGCGAAAGCAGATGCCAAACCTACTTCACGTCCGAGACGCCCTATACCATATGCTGTTCATGAGCCTCAACAAAACTTATCGGTGGGGAAGCAGCCCGATCGACAGTTGTTTAAAGATATGGTTCCTACAAAGCAGGCGGCTCGTAAGAGTACGGGTGGCAAGGCACCCAGGAAGCAGTTGGACTCTAGCACCAGATCCTACGAATCTTCTCAAAGGGGAGGTGTTAGTGGGACATAGATGAAATTTAAAGCATGATTACGTCACTGCGCGCTGATTGGCTAATTTCCTACCCAATCAGCGCCTGATCGAAGCTTGGAGAACAGGATGGAAAATTCTCGTATTATTAGCTGCATGCTGATTGGTCACATCCAGTCCAGTCGATCACGTGAATTTCCTTCCAGAAGTTTTCTCATGCAAAGGCTATAAATAGACTAGCATTGTATTTATCTTTGCCTTCTTAGCCTTCTAGCCTTCTTCGCTTTCAAGCCTTTTTTGCCTTGGCTTTCGCCATCACCTCCAGCTTCTTTTCCTTGCTATTTTGGAATACAATCCTTCCTGTTCAACCGTGTTTTGATTTGTGTTACTTGTCCAGTGTTTTGTGTCAAGAATACTAAGCAATAAGATTTAGCCGGGAAATTATCGTAAGCAACCGTTACAACAGTACGTCAGAAGTTCTACGTTGCAAATGACTGATAGAAAGATAGGTACATACGTACATAATGAATAGCCCTGGAAAAGTGTAATTACCGAGTTTAAAGCACTTCGTAATATTGTATAAAGAATAAGAATTGAAAACTATAAACATGATTTTAGGAGAATACTAGGACTTTAACTAGTGGAGGTATTGGAAGTAAGAGGGCCGTGGTCACTTCTCGGCTGCCCACAGAGTGGGCCTGTGTTGAGCTAGTGATCTTAGTAATCAAGGGGTGACTGAGGAACTCGAAGGGTAATTGCTTTCGGCTGATCACGTACGGTCTTTGTACAACAATTTTTTGAAGTATTAGCTCCGGAAACCGAAATCCGTAGGCTAAGATGAAGTACGATACTTTTAGGGTTGACTTTTTCTAACCCCCTTCCTTCCGTTGTGAGAAGACAAAATGACTACACACCTTGCTACACCTAGCATTACCACTTCACCTTCAGACTGTGATTGCCAATTAATAGTAAGGGAAACAACAAGATTTACTGTCACTTAACAAAAAATTAAACTACTCTCCATTTATTGCTTCGGAGGATGATATTAGTTTTTCTTTGACAACCAGAGTGATTTCATTATTCATATAAATTAAAGTCTCACATAGATAGGCTACAATTCTTATCAAGCTATCTGATCAAATTATACAAAAAGGTTATCAATGGAAGAAAGTGTATGCTAAATCTCCTTATGTGTTGTTACTTTCAGAACCTAATTGTTTATAATTAAAAACAGTCACTGCAGGTTGAGATTACATATGATGATCACGATCATTAACTAATTGACAAAGCTAAATATACTCTCCTTGAATGATAAATAACATTGGACCTCAGTAAAACAAATTACAGTTTTAATCGATATATAAGGTAATTTTATATGAAGACGAAATAACTCCCTTGCAATGAAGAAAATGTAAAAGTGAACACATAAAGTTATTGTTTTAAGTAAAATTACTTACCCGGTTTAATTTGTTCTATACACCAATCAAATAGATCATGTAAATAAGCATAATTAGCTGATTGTTCATCTGTTGGATTGACCATAAGTGAACGAATTACATTTGAACAATAAGATTGATAACGTACTCCTAAGGAGCAAATAATAATTCCGAAATGAAGAACACGGGTGTCGCTGAAATAATTCCAACACACAAGACAGATGGATAAAATTATTTTCACAATTAGTATTGAGTAACAAATTAAATAATGAAGCTAAGTATAAAGCATCCTGTCGATAGTTGTCGACTACCTGGTTGGGGTCCGCGAGATGATAATAATCGATGGTTAGAGACCTTGAATGACATGGCTCAAAACCGTTTGCAATGGCGCCGGTGCATTTATTCTTTGTGTTCGCTCAAATCCTAATCTTCTGGATTCTTCAACACCTCTAGTTTTGACTTTCTAAAATTTTCTCACTGAATCATACTTCTTGAATAATATCTAATCCTAACCTCTCCGATTACTTCTACGTCGCATCTGACTGACTGACTGAGATCCTAACTTTCACAGTTCGGTTCATACAATAGCCGAATCAGCTGCAAATAAAGTCAGTCAATGGAAGTAGATAAAAATCACATACATACAATCTCTTCTTCGTTATGAATCCGCTCCATATATTGAAGACAGTGAAAAGATTAACAGCATGATATAGCCATTAGTCTGAGTCGCAAATTCATTGACCACACCTACAAACCAGTCCAGTGTTAAGAGTTATAACGTTATGTGTAATAGTTTTTCGTCTACTGGCTTATTTGTCAACACTGTCATGTGTATTCACTAGAACTACCGTTTTGCTTATTGAAGGTGGATTTCACAATTGGATCATACATATCAGTCATGAGAAGTGGTTTGCCAAGTATAAAATACTAACGAATTTTTATGTACAGCTTCGTTAAGCATCGACTACTATTGTACACGACAATAAATGAGATCCTCATCATAACAGATGCATAAATTAAGACAAATCTCAATAAATTAACGGGAAAAGTACACGCACGGTAAATCACTTGAGTTGGAAATCATTTAATGACAATCACTAACATAGTAATGGGTAAAAAAATGATGAAATGACAGCATATCGAACCTTGTACATACAGTAACTCAATGAAATGCTACTAATCAAATAGTAGTCTTATTACTACTCGGTTCGATGTTTATGGACAAGGTTTATTCTTGAGTAACATTGTTTGCATGAAGGCTAGGACAAAGGATATTCTGCAGTAATCGTCAAATGTAAAAAATTTACCTGAGTAAATTTTGCTGACTACTTTTAAATAAAAGTAATCAGAAATAAATAAGTGATAATAATAATAATAATCTTACAATCGACATTTTACTGAATGTACACAAGCTAGATATGAAAGTCCAGGGATGATGCTAAAATTGCTGTCATGTCAATTCTTTAACGTTTTCTATAGGAATGTTTGTGATTTATTGTTTCACCTTATGGTATATCAGTTCGGCTTGGATTATTCATTTTTAAATTAATCTTAGTCAGTATTCAAGAGAATGTTTAATGGATCATTGAGTTTTAGTTGGCCGTAATCACTCATTTCGTTTTTAAAACATTTACAGCCAGATGATAGAGAAGACTAGGCAGTTAGCCAAACACTTTTTAAATGTCATTAATGATACTGATTCGAAGATATCAATGAGAATCTGTCAACAATCATAGATTGATATAATGGCAATGAAAAAAAGCAATATATTTCTGTGACAATTTAGGAAATTTAACTTGAAACGGTTGTTGAGTATTGTCAACAGATTACTCATAATATGAAAGACAAATTATTAATTGCTATTTATGTGCAGAATAGAGAACAATAAGTTTTGAGCAAAACGATCAACATCGACATAGTATTCACACAATCAACAGAAGGGTAACCGATAAATGTACTTCTGTTGATGTCAACGACCGAGTGAATCAAAAGAAATAGTAAGGATTAAAAATAAGTAGGATGAAACTTAATTCACAAAATCAAAGATATTTTAGATTCATCTATCTGAGTGTTATTATTACTATTAGAGGAAAAAAGCGTGAAAAACTCACCTTTCAATGCTAAATTTAAGATTATATGTTCCGCCACTCTGAATAATCGGATCATAACACATTTCCACATTGTCAGGATCCAAACCAGATAAAATGTTTGAATTTTTTATTGCGGTTTGACAACCACTAGAAAGCTTTTCATGTTTAACTTTCTACAGATGAAGTATCGAAAAAAATTACGCTACAAGTTAATGAATCTAAATACATAGTACATAGGAAGTTAGCAGATAGCATTTATATATCTTACTCAAAGATCAGTTAAGAGATCAATTTTATGGTCGATTATACGTGACTGGTTATCGAAAGCGATGGGTCTTTTGATTGAAAGTATCATTGGGTTGTCACTGTTAATTTGTAGCATTACAAGAAGTGTAACGACAAGCGATCTTCCGACATTACAAGTCAACTCGTAATAAACATAGAAGCTGGCAAAAATGAGCCTCGATCAGGTTTATTGAACTATATAGAACGGGAAGATGAAGCCAATAAGGAAATCAAATGAGTTAAACTGATGGTTGTATCCATCATGGTAAAAGAAAAGACTAAACATTAGGAACAGAAGAATAAATTCGAGTAGAAGTTGTGAAATACTATTAAACAAGATAGGAATGAATGAAAAATATAATTACTCAGGAGCTCAACAATTTTAATTCCTGTCGCACTAAAACATACATAGTTAATATATTAACTACAGCCTAAATAGTAGTAGGTCTGAACTTAAGACAAAAGCAAGATTCTCCGAACAGTACAACATGCCCCAACCAAATCATACGTGACGTAGATGCTTTGGAAGATTTAAAAGCCTTTACAGCTTCATTGATGAGCAAGGTGAATTTGATGCAGGTGCAGAGGCGCGAATCGGTAAAGCAAGGGCAGCATTTCTACAGTTGAAGAACATCCGGAACTCCAGACAACTATCAACCAACACTTAAGTCAGAATCTTTAATACAAATCTCAAGAAAGTTCCACTGGAGAACTACTAAAGCCATTATATACAAGATACAAGTGTTGATTAACAGTTGTACCAGCAAAATACTTCGGATTCGTCGGCAGACACCATCAGCAACAACCTACTGTGAAAGGGTGTAAACCAGATTCCAGCAGAAATCAGGAAGCGCTGGAAGTGGATAGGAAAAATAGACTAAAGCAATGAACTGCGTCACAAGACAAGCTCACGTGATAACCTCAAGGCCAAATGAAAAGAAGACCAAAGGAAACATTACACCGGGATATGGAGACAAACATGTAGAGAATCAATAACAGCTGGATAGAACTAGAAAGGAAGATGGAGGATAGCGTTGGTCACACATCGCTAGTCGGTAGCCTATGCTCCACTAGGGGTAACAAGCGTAAGGGGCAAGTAATCAGTAGTGTCCACATGATCAAAAACCATACCATTGTAGAAGTGGTGAGCGTGGGACATCTTGATAAAATCTATTCAGAGTTACTAGCTCTATAAATCAATATAAACCGTAACTTAAGAAATATCTCTTAACTTAAATCTCTGGTAACTTTACATAATTCTTGACATAACAATTTTACGGACTTAGTATCTTCGTAGTTGTTGAAAAACAACCATCGAGCATTTAACCGCGATCAGTCACGAAATACTAAAATGGCTCATATCTGTATAGAACGCTTGGAAGACATTCAGCAGCTTTTGGGAGTGAATAGTCAAAACTTGTTAACTTGTCAACTTAAATGGCATCTTGATACTTTCAATTGTAATCGAGAATAAAAAAAATGCATTACTTACTCTGTCTGAATCAATAACGTCCATAATTTGCTCCTTTAAATGTTTAGTGAAAAGATTGCATGTAAGATCACAAGCCTTTTTCAACAGCGCTAATTCTGCGTCATCTTTAGTAGCCAGGATTTCACTTATTGAATTAGAAATATCGACAAGTTGAAAGTTCTCTTGTTTCATGGATTCCATAAAAGACTCAGTTAGCTCCGATACAAATTTATCCTTCGCCAGATGACCCACTTTATTACTCTTTGCACCGGACTTGATACCATCAATCAGTTTCTTTATTCCTGCTTTATCTTTGTCAGCCTATGCGAAATATAACTCGACATTTAACTTACCGGGTTTCTCGGTATCAGAACAACTGTATGATTACCAAACTGGCGGTTTTCTAATGGATGCAAGAAATCTAACTTCTTTTTCCCACACAAAACAATCATCGACTGTTTGTTAAATACAATGACAGTATCTTGTAACTCATAACCAAAAAGCCACATCTGTATATATGAGAAGTAAAAACAAAATATTTACGTGTAGTGACAGAGTTTTCCCGTATACACTGTCTACTTTTCCTGCTGGTACAGCTATGGACTCTACATCGTGAAGTTGACTTTTGGAGTCCTTAAATGATACAAAATTTTAGCTATGAAGCAATTGAACAGTTACCTCCCAATCTGCGTACAATTTACCTATCCGTTTCTCGAAAGAACCAATATCAAGGTTCAAAGCGCACATTGTAGCGCAATTCAGAAATCGTACATGCGCGAAAGTCTAACGAGATCTTCAATGTTCCAATGTCAAGTCTGAAAGTTAGTGAAAGCGAAATAATATTTTCTGAGTCTCGAATTCAATAGAGATGCTATGGTTTGCTTTAAAATGACGATAGGGTTCACTGAATTATAGGTCCACGTTCTACTTCACAAAGCTTTTCAAGTTTCGAGATTCTCAATCGGATAAACTTTTTCAAGCAACCTCCTGGCAGTCCTTGAAGAGAATACTTGATAAATATTTTACTGAGCTTCGAACAGTAAATCAGACTTATTACTTTATGCTTCTATTTTGCTTGTTTCGAGAGCCAAGTTCTCCACCTAGAGTTTTCAACAGTCTATCTCAACAGGACAAGGAACTCGTTTTGTGGTGCAACAAACCGAATTTAGAGGGTGATCAGAGTTTAACACAGGCAAGATTACGTGACTGTATACTTATCGTAGAATACAGATATCCGACCAGGTGTGTGACTGTCATATGCATCAGTTTAATTTTATTGCTTATTTTGTGTTTAGTTGTTTGATTAGTTTGACTCCGATCCAATATTTCGAACATATTTTTTACAGGCTAGTATACACAAATTGATACTTTTGCGCTCGAAACATGTTCAACAGATATGGTTCCGGGTGTTCGATAGAGTCCAGTGAGTGGAGGTCTAGCCACCCGACCTCTATTTCTAGTCAGTTGGCAGTTGTTTATGGGTTCGTGTGTCCCGTGATTTGAACAGATACGTTTATTTTATGGCAGTGGGGTTACTGGATACCAGCAGCTATCACGTTGCCCGGCCGGAGATCAGTTAGTTGCAACGTGGAGAATAGTAAGGAGAAAATCCTAATTCTAAAAAGGAAATTTCAAAAATTGGTAAATAAATTGATAATTCAGTTTATTGCCTGTTCGTGAAGTTTGTGCTAGAGGACTGAGGTATAAGCAAAGGATGGGAAACGCGGCTAATAGACGAGATATATTGAGTAAGTGATATGAGGAGATGGCAATAACAACAACTAGCAGGTCTGTTACGGGAGAAACGAAGACATTTTGCTGATTAAAACCTTCATGTATAAAAATCATTAATTTCACTGTTTTTTGGGTATATTTGTTTTACTTAACTTATGAACTTGTTTGAATTATTATTTGCGGACATATTGGACTCCCGTTTCTCTTTGTTGTTCGTTACAGTTTTTTGCTCCAAGAGATAATAAATTAGAAGAACGACATTGGTCGTCTATTTGTAATAAATTATTTTGGTGGAATTTGTGATTTGGAATAAACTTTGGTATCTACTTTGGAGTTTCGTTCTTGGTATAGAAATTTGGGACCTTGAATTACCAATAGACGACAACAGTGCTTCATAAGATCAACGAGCAAAAAACTGGACGTAACAGGTCCCAAGACATACATCAGGTACAGCTGGTCCTCCAGAATGATGATAATCCGTATGTGAGTACCTGTTTACCAAGTTTCTTCTTAAAGCGGTCCACTGAGGTGTCTGTGGCTACTTTGGCTAGTAGAGCATTCCAAACTGGAGCAACTCTAAATGATAAGACGTAAGGGCCTAATTAATCGATATTTCTTCGATCTGTAATTTTTCGAGGGTGTCCTCCGGAGGGGTGATGATGTTTTCACAAGATGTTCATGCTAGGATGCTATGGTACGCTAAGTATGTCATATGCCATTAGCAGATCACCTCTGATTATCCTGTAACTCAGAGAGAATAATCTTAAATGTTGGATTCTATCTTCATCAGATTTGTTCTTCAGGCCTTTCACTCATTTAGTTGTTCTTCTCAGCACTCAATCCAGGAGATTTGTGTCGGTCTGAAGTAGGGGGAATGCGATGACATTGTGAAATTCATGGCGTGATCATATGTATGTTTTAAATAGTGTTAAGAAGAATTCTGTGATGATAGCACCGAATTGCCCTCACATAAAGTGAAGAGTTGAGTTTGTCTAGGCTGCATCTCCTTTGTAGTTCAAACTAGTGTCCAGGCTCTCTGTGGTTAATGAACCGAGGTCGTGTTCTGAGGACAGATTGGTGGGCGGACTCATATTTAGGATATGCGTTTTTTGCATCACGTGTGGTAGAATTTTCGTGACATGACATTCAGAATGTTTTGTTTTGTCTTGTCTACTTCTCATTCCCCGATTGATACTAGGTACTATTGTAACTTATGTGAATCCTCATCTCTCCTTTTGAGCCTGCAGACCTTTCCATCGTCTGCCTGAGGTAGTTTTATCTCGCTGGTCATTAGTGAATATAAGAAAGAGGAGTGAACCTAAGTTGGTGGAATATGAAACTCCCGATTTTGAGACTCATCAGCTTGCATACATTTCATAGACCTTGGTGAGTAATTTTCTTTTTCCTTGGTAGTTTCTCAGTCAAGCTAGAAGTAGATCAGTGAAGCCCATCTTTACAACCTTCGGAATTAGGAGTTTGTGAGGTACTGCGTCACTAGCTTCGCCAAAGTCAAGAAATAATGTATGAATCATAGTTCCGGATCTAGCTGGTTGTCCAACTATCCCATGCTATGGGTTCCGCATTTCCTCAATCCCAGCCATCTCTTAATTGGTAAGATCGTCGTTTGAAAATTTGAGGGCACAGAGACTCTGGAGAAGATACTCTCTCATGGTCACGTAGTCCCCCCAAAGTAAGCAAAGGTAGGACTCGTTTACGTCCCCCATTATTACTTCGTTTTGACCATGTTAAAAACGACTGCTCCATGGTCACTTCTTTCTACTGGTGTGTGAACAAGGAAATCCTTGATTCAGAGATGATTGTTTGTTAACAAGTGGCCAAGTTTGAGTGTTTTCCTTCTTTATGCTATCTAGTGGCATTGCATACATGCTCAGCCAATCCGAGACTTTTAATGGCTGTCGGAAGTTGCGTTCGGAATCAACTTTCAGAAGCTGAACCCTGTTTACTGGGGTTTAGAGATAGATCAGTGAAATGTCTAGCTACGAATATTTGATCCAACCCAAGGTTTGGTGGTTGCAATATTGCCTCATTCAACTTATTTTTCCAGCCAATGGAACATGAGGCAGGCAGGTAAATCCTTCAAGTATTTTGTCCTAGTTGTGCTGAAGAAATACCAGCTTGATTCTGTCATGTTCGTTAGTTGGGTGAACTGTTGCGAAGTGTTGCGGTTTTGAAATGGCTGTTAATATACATCACCACTGTACCTCCTGTTTTGTGTACCCTAGCTTCGGAAGGATTTCATGTCTTGCAAGCTAACTTCATCTTCTGCTATGTCATGGGATTGCTATGTTTCAGTTTGCATTATGATTTTCAGATTCATCTGAAAGCACACATTCCTGATCTTTTGCAGATTAGCCCTTAATCCTCTTACGTTGCTACAGAGGCACTTGGCGATTTGTCTCAAAACCTTGTGCACTTCTGTGGGAACTGGTCGCTGCAGACTTTAGCTTGTGTAGTGTGTCCAATCGACGAAACCATGATTCTCTTGTCCTGTGCCATCGGTCGTCAATCGAGGTGGACAGACATTAGTTTGAATCAATTTAGCCTTCCCGTTGTAGTCTCACTGATATTCGTCGGCTCTCGCAACATCTAATGTGACTGAATAGATCACTCTTAATGCTGCACCAATCATGAAGTGCCTCATTTCTGTCTTTCCGATTTCTTATGTCCACAGCCATCAGATATGAAGACATAATAGGTTCGATGGTCGAGGCTGCTTGGAAAAGCTAACTGCCATGGTTGTGTGAAAGCCCATGCAACGTGATGGCCATTTCTATTGTTGCACGTCATATGCTTGAGCTTCATCCTAGCTACCACTGACCTCATAAACCACGTGAACTACCTCACTGGTTGGTGTTTTAGGACGTTTTGATGCCCTGGCAGCTTCTCGTACTGAACTTGATATGACGTGCCTGACTTGGATAAGAGAGGGCACTTCAACCAAAGGTCTCAGGACTGTTTCAGTAACGTGTGCCGAGTCCAAATTCACCTTCATTGGGGGTTAACAATTCGCTACATCCTGACTTTCAAACGGACGACATAGCTTGACCCGGTCACTGCTCATTCCAAGCACTACGTAGTATCTACCATATACTCTTACTTTCCAGCAAGCTACACTGACACCAGAACAATAAGTAGAATTAGAGAGTTTTGTAAAAGTATACGTCCTTGATTTGAGTTTTTTGTAAACGTTTCCCTTTATCACACTCACCACACAGTTTAAAAAAATCAGTAGTTTTATTGGTATGTTGGTGCGAGTATTGGTTATATTTGTCGCCTATTATGTCGGTATCTTACTGGGCGAATTAGGTTTACTTCGATGGATCGGTTGGTTAAGTTTAATCGGGGGCTGTGGCTTCGCTGCTGCTAATTTTTTTGTTTCAGTGATTCAGTTCTGTGAAAAAACGTACCAGAACCACGGATATGGGTGACTAAGCATGAACTCATAGTACTGTGTTGGTACAACAGTATCGCAACGATAGTGAACCCATACACTTCAGAAGTCATATTCAAATGATGAGGCACTGGTTTTAACTGGCAACTAGCAGGCAATACAAATTGGTTGTTGAAAACTAAATCTAATCACCATTTAGCCTTAAAGAAATGATAGTGACAAATTTTTACATTTCTACTTACATTTTACCAATGTAAAAAGTCACAAAAATGAACTGAAATTGTGTGCTTTCAGAAAATGAACGAAGATGGAAGCCCAAACGAAACAAGAATTGTTTGAAGGACAAACCGTTTAAACGGTAAAATGTGTATTTTTTTTATCATGAAACATTCAGTTGCAAAACCAACGTATTCTTAGCTGTCTTCTTCCACATTAGTTCAATAAAGCATTACTGAGGAATATCGACATAACGTTGATGATCTGAAGATTATTCCATGGAAATCTCAAAACCAATTTATTAAGGTTTACAAGATGTATCATGAAGGTAGATACACACTGTGCATTTTACTTGTCCACATTCTGTTGACTATGAATCAAGATGAGAATATTGATCACATAAACTCATGTGATTTACGTCAAAATAACATAAAAATTGTCTGAAATAATTGAATATTGTTCAGTCTTAGAGAAACAAAGCCTAGTCAATTTAAAACTTTCAAAATAGTAGCGTCTATTGAGGATTTATTATTGTGATGAAGATAGTCTAACACTGTATTCCGTTCGTTTAATTCTACATTACAAATTATGATAAGTGAAAGCCAAAAACGAATTTAAGTAGTATAGTACGCCATATACATTTAAGTTTGTCTACGTTCAATTTTACACATCATTTCGGCGTTAACTTGTAATGGTTATGAGAATGAGCAGCATACAAAATTTAGGAATTATTGCTAATGCTGTTACGCATGCACGTAAACACGTCATTTGATATGCTTGAACTATTACGAGTTTACCTTAGTCGGAAAACGAGAACGAGGATCGAGGATCCGGCGACATGACATGCTACTCTAATCCGACTGTCCCAACCCCGCATTGATTAAAAGAAGAAGACTTGATATGAAGTAAGACCTTTATTCTACAATCATCCAGAAAGTACGAGTTCCAGGTCCATAAGAGTATAAGGATGCCGAGCTAAGAATCTGGGCCCGGGTCCGGGTCCGTGTGATAAAACGTTACAGATAATTTATAAAGTTAAGTAGAATAGAAAACAACATTGTAGTCTGTGACATTCATAGTCAGGACGACCAGTAGGAATCAGACTCACAAAAAATAATTCTCTTAGGATATTTGATGAAAATCTTAACACATACCGACTGCCACAATCATGTTACATGTTCGTTACTGTCATCAAAAAATTTATAGAGATGATAAATTATGATTTTCACTAATATAATAAACTGTTTACTATGTGAGCTCATAAAATTTCGATTTTTTCAATAATACATGCCTTTTTCAATAACCTGTCACCCTTAATAACAAAAGTATTATATGCGGTTGATAACTCAGCATCCGTGAGTCGATTAAAGTTGGATATAAACTTCTCTAGGCGATTAACCAAAGGCCTAAAGGTTAATTGTTCGTACGCCAGTCTAAGGATACTTGGTTAGATTCAAACTTGGATTCGTACTGCTGAAGAGTTAGGGTTAGGGTCGAAACGATTCTTCCAGTGTTCCAACAGTGTTCTAACAGTTATCAATTATTCTTGATTCCAATAAAACTCAACCATATGCTTAATCCTATAATGATAACTGTAAATACAATTGTCCGAATACATCATACATGACATAAAACATGTGTTTTAAAAATTTCTTGTCATAAAATAATATATAATGATAGATTTGTCATAATAATAATAATAATAATAATAAAGTATTATTTTAAAATAACTATTAAGATCAATGAAAAAAATTTATTAAACCATTTTCTAATCTATGCATTATTTTTTATAAACTAGATTAATAATAAATAAACTACAATATAAACGTTGTTTTTTTTCATGTAGGAATGATATCATTTGCTAGTACAGTTAGCGCTGTCCACAATTGCCGGCCAACTTGTCCAATATAAGATGGAGGCAAAAGGAATCCATAACGTCCTTCATCACATAATTCAATTGTATATGCATAGGGGATTTTCAATTCACCAGCTACATAATCATCCGTTGCACCAGCTGCTTCATCTGAAATAACAGAACAAAAAAAGTGAGGAACAATTAATGAGTAGGGAAATAAAACGAGAGTACATTAAGACGTTTTATTACTCATCTAAGTTGATGATGAATATTTTTTAAATCATGTATTCTTTGAGCTGAATATATATTAGTCATGAATTGATTTGATTGTCGTTTCGGAAAATACCATCAGAACATAATTTGAAGAGAGAAGTGAACTTTTAGGATTATTCTACATTAATCTAAAAGCTTTTTCTGTTAGCCTGGTTTGCATATTTATTGTCATTATTTTCGCCTCTTGCTCTGATCTCTGCGAATGTTAAAAGTTGACAAGTTTTTATCTAATTGTAAAAAAAGCTTAATAACTCACATCAATTTAATGTATAAACTTGAAATATCCTATAGACGAAGAATGAAAACATAGTGAGTAAGCCATTCGACTCATTGAACGCAACAACGTCACAGACTGTAACTGTTACCTTGACGTGATGGTCGGTTGTGACAGCAGAAAGGTGTTTCCCTCGAAAAACAAGAATCTGTAGCAATGTTGCCTTCTCACAAGAAAGAAAGGGATTAGGAAAGGTTGACACTTTCAAAACATCCTATTAAAAAGCTGTTTGTGAACAACCTCCAGTAGTTGTCCCTTAAGCTCTGCGTTCACGCTCCCAAGTTGCTCAGATCAATGGTAATCCGAGTTCCTTTTCAGGTTCCTGAAGAAGTACTCTTCTACGATGTGGGCATCCGCAAATCGACAACCGCCCTCATATTTATAAAAGCACACGAGACCAAATTAGTCTTAATCTAATCCTTTTAAAACCTCCTAATAACTTTCTTATCTCCAGGACCAACCTTTCTTTTGTTCCTTTGTCACCTTGTACCACTTACGCAAATTGTTTGAGTTCATGAAACATTATTCCTAGGCCCCTGAAACCCCGCTCCAAATTACATGTTAGAGCTTTTGATGTCCGGACATTGCATCAAGTAGGGAAACAGTTTTCCTTAGCTAGGAATTAACAATCTCGCGCCATCTATGCATTCTGTGCCTCCGAAACGTGCATACAGGATCCGAGTAGAATCCCTTATTTAACTTCACCTTGTTCAGATAAAGTACCAACTCCGTTTACTCCCAGTGTATCTGAAAGTTCTGATGCTGCTTCTCGTAGCTCGTGTAGGTATTGCACTAAATTCTGGGAAAGAACTAGCTCTCTTCGAGTGGATCCTAGTAGATAGTCACTTGTGCTCTTAACAGGACAGTAGGAACTCAGAAGGACAGTGTTACTCGCCTTTGCCCCTTCATTGTCTCAACTTACGCTCTCACTGACTGCAGCTCGGACGAGGTAAAAGATGAGTTTTACAGAAAGCTTTCTAACGTTCTTCAAAAAGTTACGCACTCTAATAAAGTAATAATAGCTGGTGACTTCGATGCTCAAGTAGGCAAACTAAGCGAAACTGAACGACACTTGCGTAGAACTTATGGTGTCGTGTGTGATCGAACAGACAATGGCGACCATCTGCCACAGCTACGCTCAGATAGTTAAGGATGGCAAATCGGTAGATGAAGTAGTGAAAATTCATCTGTTGAGGTGGTTGGGATATGCCTCACGTGTGCTCATTCACCGAGTACCTTGGTGAGCGATGATGCCTGGTCTAAAAGAAGGCTGGAAAAAAGCTAGGAGCGGTGAGACTAGACATCAGAAACTAGTTATCGGTGGTCAGTGCGAGGATTCCATACTTGTCAAGATCTAATCGAGAAGAAACATTAGATTTACAAAATATGTATATATGATCTTCAAACATCCATTTACAACAGCAGCAAGTTTTCGACTGTCTTCTTTGACATCTCTTCTAGTCTTCCATTCACCTTGATCACTCTATGCATATCGATAGTCAGACTTCTAGGCAATGCTATGCTAAAAACTACTATTATACCTTTTGTGAGTAGCATCCACCACACTAGAAAAAAAAGGCTTAAATACTTTCTGGTTTTTAATGGTTGTTAAACTACGCCCAATCTGTGAGATAGTCTATAAAAGTCAACAATCTTAACAAACCCTCTATGCTAACACCTTTCGAAATTTGATTTTTGCTATTTCAAAAGTACACGTAACCAATAAGAAGAAAGCCAACAGTAGTTTATTCATCCAACTTGATAGGATGGTAGTATACTGTAAATTGTACACAGAATAATCAGTAATCTTTTTAATTTATGATCTACTGATAAATTATTGAAACATGACAACTCACTAGTATGTAGAGCGTATACTTTTATGTGGAGCCCATAGGGCTTGTCCCAAGCCTTCAGACAAATTAATTGAACCATTCTGACCGACTTACTATTCCCTCGTTTTACGACCTTGTCTACTATGTACTTTTATCTTGGTCGTAGGTATTCAAGTATGTGTTAACTACCACTTATCACATGAATAGCTTATTTTTGTCTGACTATAAACGCTTAGTCATGCCTCATTACATTGACTTGGCTCGCCGGCCTACTCCACTGCTTTAACTCTCTGTATTATCACGTCTGTCTGCATGAACGACTGTCTGAAATAAAGTCATCCAACCGAATCCGTATTCGGTTTCTTATTACCGCTTTCACATAAACAGGGTTCACCTTAGAATGATATACGGATACTGAAGAGAAGATTTATTTCATAGCATATTCAACCGTTTATAAATATGAAGTCATCTCCTGGGCCAGTAAAATTGTGAGCCCTAAATCGAATCTAACGCAGTCCTTGATTTAGAATACAACGCAACTGCAAGCATGTGGACAAATGTCGCAAACATTCTAACTAAATTCGGCATTATAAAATCTATTGAATATTTGCACACAGAACAACATAGATATAAGTGAACAATAATGTTGTTGTTTTCGATTAGATCGTCATCAGGCTGCTTTACTCTCTAATATATACATGAATATTTATGATGAAATTGTTAAACCAATCAAGGCAATTTGAGTCAATAATCACAATGAAATGAAATAGAGATTACGTCACTACACACATAATAGACAGAAGTACAAGTTCGTAGTAGGAAGACATGAGTACTATTAGTAGTGGTAAGAGAAATTAAATACGATAACAAAAGTTTTATCACTAGTAGGTCGAATGTGGATAAATAGACTTACAATAATCATTACAAAACATTAAAACCATTACGTAATAAGGAGTGAGTCCTTAATTAGATAGTGAGAATATAATAAAAGGCAAGATACAGAAAATTACAAACAAATACAGGATGTGAAACTAATGCCAATAATAACAAAAATAAGATTTAAAAATAATTTGTAAAACGTTGGTTAAGTAGTCATGTCTATTATGTGTGTAATGACGTAATAATCTATTTCACATTTCATTGTGATTACTGACTCATACATTGCCTTGATTGGTTAAAACATTTTCATCATAAATAAAAAAATATTCATGTATATATTAGAGAGTAAAGCAGCCTGATGACGATCTAATCGAAAACAACAACAATATTTGCATTACGGCGTTTGTGAAGATTGTTAAGTTATACATTTTTTAAACCATGAATCGATCAATGTTAGGCCACCATTAGAAACCTGAAAGCACTGGATGACAGCCGTTTCGTCCTGGTATGGGACTCCTCAGCAGTGCGCATCCACGACTATTGCACCCCACAGGATTAGAACCCAGAACCTTCGGTATTGTATGCGAACGCTTATATCTGTGTTGTTGCAATCATTAAATCAATATAATAAACAAAGTGATTGACGCTTGAAGTGGAAACTACTGTATATCAAGTCTTAGTCCAAACATCACCAATAATTTCAGGATGTAAGTGTAAATCCAACTGGCAAAATTCTTTAAATAGAACGAAACCAGCTTGTTGACTTCAATTGCTAATCGTTATTCATTTCGACATAAATAGATCGCTGTCCTCTCTATTTCTCATTACTTATTCGTTACAAGTACTTTTTAATATGACTAACATGTGATGTAATCGTTATGAAACAGAATAATAATAATAATAATAATAATAGTAATAATATATCATCCAAAAAGATCGGATGAAGTTCAAATTTATGATGTGAATAATTTTAATGATATTTATCTAGTATTTATATGTCGGTTATCTTAAGAAGGACAAACATTTATGTTAATATATATATATATATATATATATATATATATATATATATATATATATATATATATATATATAACACTGACGATAGATAGTTTATAATCAATGTATGTATAGAGTTTAAAAGGAGTTTTTCTAAATAGTATTTACACTAAAGATGAGAATATACTGATTGTACTGTATAATTAATGTTGACTATCTTGCATTAAAAATAGAATCAATAACATGCAAGTTTTGTGTGAATATGATTATCATTAGATGGCATTTAATTTCGTTATGGTGTTTTACTGAAATCATGAACCGATTAGTGTTTGATGAACATTAGAAACGCTGGAAGCGTTGGACAGCCCATTTTGTCCCGTTTATATTCTTCACTATTTAATTATGAACACACTTCTTATTACGTAATGGTTTTAATGTTTTGTAATGATTAATTTAAGTCCATTAACCTAATATTGATAAAACTTTCGTCATCGTATTTGATTTCTCTTACCACTACTAATAGTACACATGTCTTCCTACAACAACTTGTACTTTAGCCTATTATGTGTGTAGTGACGTAATCCCTATTTCAATTCATAGTGATTATTGACTCAAATTGCGTTGATTGGTTAGAACATTTTCATAACAAATATTCAAGTATTTACTAGAGAGTAAAGCCGGATGACGATCTTATCGAAAACTCATTATTACATATTTAAAATCACCAATCAATCATTGTTTGATCACCATTAGAAACCTGGAAGCACTGGACGGCCATTTCGTCCTGATATGGGACTCATCAGCAGTGCGCATCCACGACTCCTGCACCTCACATGATTCAAACCTGGGACCTTTGGTATTGTGCGCGGACGCCTAACCATCGGACCACTAGGCCGGCTTCCAACGGTGTTAATGTCTAGCTCTGATTGATCTAGAGATTTAGCGCGACCTCACCCATTTGTCTTTGGTAGTTACTGCCTACACCTGACAGGGTTGAACTCCATTGGTCTCGTCCTTTTACCAGAACTACGAGGATTTCCTCACGAAGCTAGCCACTAGTGAGCACATGTTACGATATTTTCAGTTAGAGTTTTGGAGATTTGTGTTTTTACACATTTAAAATCATCAATCAATCATTGTTAGACCACCATTGGAAACCTGGAAGCACTGGACGGCCGTTTCGTCCTGGTATGGGACTCATCAGCAGTTCGCTTATATCTGTGTTGTTCAAATTTTCACAATCGGAATCTTTAAAAGAAAATTTTAATCATGAAATTATAAATTGGAGTAAATTACAAATTTCACTTACATAAAAGTTCCGATGACGAACCAACTTGATAAACATAACCATGTCGATTTTGTATCATTTGTTTAACTTTTTTACCCATTGACATCTGGAAAAAAAAGTGAGAATTCTTGAATTCATTGAACATATAACACATCAACCCATTTGAATATTTCAAAGTAACTTGAAAATATTGTTCAAACTTTCTCAATACATCAGCTACTGTAACATAATGAGATGTACACGTTCCCTCAATTATATGACTGATTGACTGTACTACAGTATTTAATAATGGCCAATTCAAATTCTGTGTTACGCCTGCACGTAAACACGTCAACCTGATATACTTGAACCGTTACGAGTTTATCTAGTCGGAAAAACGAGAGCGAGGATCGAGGATCCGGCAACACGACATGCTACTCGAATCTGATTATCTTAACCCCCATATTTAGTAAAAATTATAAGACGTGATATGAAGTACAATCTGTATTCTACAAGCATCCAGAGAGTACGAGGTCCGAATCCAGAAGAGAATCAGGATCCCGGACTAGGGATCCGGGACCGAGCCCTGGTCCTGGTCGTGGTCATAAAACGTTACAGATAATGCGTATTTACACATTTTGGTCGAATAGGAAACAGCATCGAAGTCTGTGACATTGACAGTTAAGACGACCACTAGGAAGTAACATTTGAAGTGACATTGATAGTCAGGACAACCAATAAGAAAGAACATTTGAAGTGACATTGACAGTACGGATGACCAATACGAGACAACATTGAAGTATTTGACTTTGACAATTAAAACGACCATAATTTTGACCAATAGAAATCGACCAATAGGATTTGACCAATAATTCTCTTAGGATATTGAATGAATATCCTAACATTCTGTCAATCTGTTCTCATGATAAGATGTTTAGTTAGTCTTTTTGTCTAACATTTCACATATAGTAACCCCTATTTGTACATATGTATTCAATTGGAAAGTTTGTTCAACTTATAGGTCTTTATATCAATGTGATCCAGTGATTTTACTGATTCAGTGTTTGAACATGTTACATGATAATTTATGTGGGCTGTCAGTTTTGATATTTAACTAAAACAGACAATATATTTTTATATAGTTAAATTAATAAATAATTTCAATCGAATACTTGTCATCGTTTCATATATATATATATATATATATATATATATATATATATATATATATATATATATATATATATATATATACATATATATATATATATATATGTTTTTCAACTTGTATTATATAGTAGTATGGAGGTCGTTGATTTTACTTACTGAAATCATAAATGAATCATTGTTACACTACTATTAGAAACTTGGATGCACTGAAAGACGGCAGTTTCGTCCTAGTATGGGACTCTTGAGCAGTACGCACCCACGACTCCTGCACCTCGCAGGATTCGAACCCGGGACCTTTGGTATTGTGCGCGAACGCCTAACCATCGGACCACTGGGTCCGTATCCAACGGTGTTGTTGTCTAACTGTGACTGATCTGCCTACACCTGACAGGGTTGCACCCCATTGGTCATGTCTTCGCCCACAACAGCGAAGGTCCCGGGTTCGAATCCTGCGAGGAGCAGGAATCGTGGATGCGCACTGCTGACGAATCCCATGCCAGAACGAAATGGCCGTCCAGTGCTTCCAAGTTTCTAATGGTGGTCTAACAATGATTGATTGATGATTTCAAATGTGTAAAAACACAAATCTCCAAAGCTCTAACTGAAGATGTAACTAAAGTATTATATTTTGGTGTTTTGTGAATATTTGACTTTAATTAGAGTTAAAATGATAAAGAAGCATTGATTTGTGAAACAATCAACCTAAAAAATAACGATTTATCCAACTGAAAAAAATTAATTTTTTATTACTGCAACAATTCACATAACTTACTAATTTTTGATAATATGGTGGATAACTATAACGTGAAAATCCAAACGGGGTTAAGATATACTGACCAAATGAATGTAAACTCAAATATAAAATTATTTGTTTTTGTAATGAATTCAATTTTCTAATGATACTTTGTGTTTCTAATTCTGATGCTGCTTTACTTCCACGATAAGTATCACTGCATGAATGTGGTGATGCACCATTGCCAACTATAGAAATTGTTTTCAACAGATCAATAAATTAGATTTTTACACTAAATTGATCACAAAATGATGCATACTTTCTATACACATCTTATATTAGAACAACACATATAAGCGAACAATATTGTTTTCGATTAGATCGTCATCAGGCTTTACTCTAATATACATGAATATTTATATGAAAATGTTAAACCAATCAAGGCAATTTGAGTGGGAATCTTTAAAAAACATCTTATATTACTCAACGATTTGACTTGATCATTTCAAGTTTCAATTTTCAACTGATTGGTACTTTACATTCTACTCAATATCTTTAGAATATGGATGAATTAATCTACATTGTAACATTGAGATATGTTTTGATAGAACAATGAAAGCTCCACAACCAAAACGTCGCCAGTTCAGAGAACCAAACACCACCACTGCAATCATCCACCTGAGCTACAAATCTTCTCTACCATCTCAGAACAGTGAAAAGATGCAATCGATCTGAAAAATGTGATGTATTTCGGTTGAAAGGAGAATGAAACTATAAAGCGTTCAGTTTTTAAACGAAAGCAACGCAGACTGGGCAGTATTTAAATTTCAACAGTTTTGTCCAATGCAACACACAAGTGTGATTTGGTAAAATGCTTCTTCAATAGGGCACAAAGGATTTACACCATGGATACATTTAAAGATGATGCAAAATATTCTTAATTGAAACAATGATATCAAACGGCTATTCGTTAAAGTTCATCATTAGATGTAAAATCAGTTAAGACAAATGACTGTTTTTTCATTCTGATGAGAAGAAAAAGGTTTATATCACTCTACCATTTAGAGATGAATCAAATGGTCTAATATTAAGACAGAGACTAAAAGCAGCCATAGAGAAGACATAAAACGCTGCTAAACTGATTATCATGGAAAAGATCAAGCCCATGAGTTTACATATACCTAAACGTTGCTCGAATGATTACATCACACACCATTGGATTTATCAATTTACATGTTTGTGTGGACACAGATACATAGGGAGAAGTAATCGAACTTTGCAATCAAGGGTTATGGGACATGTACCTAAGTGACTTCAAAATCAGCTAACGTCAGATGAGCCGATTAACGTGGGAAATAGAAAACCATGTTCATCGATCGCAAATCATATAATTGACATCAAAACAACCTTCAAAACATTGTATAGAAATGTTGAGGGACTAATTTTTGGGTTTATGGAGGCCTCGGCTATTAGAAAATTAAATATCCCCTTATGTGTGCAGAAACAATTTGTCATAACCTTGAATTTACCTTGGTAATCTTTAAGCCTAGGGTAATGTGACAATTTTTCTACCCCTTCTTATTCTTTTCATTTTACGTTAATTTTCTCTCCCTTTTATTTACAATGATCACCTTATGTCTACTATTTGAACTTTTATTTAATTGACCTTTTATTCATCTTCATATAAAATGCCTTGACAAGTAAATATGTGTGACCAGATTGTTCGAAGTGTATAGCGCAAATACACCACATTTTTCAGATCATTTATGTCTTCTCGTTGTTCTGTCAAAATTTATAAAAGGGACTAATAGTTTAAAATTACTAAGTATCATTTGGAGACTAACAGTTCTAGATTTCACATGGTATTCATCAGAGATTAATCTTATTTTCGGTGTTCTTCAAAACCATCAAGCATTATATATCTGTTTTATTAGTACAACCCAGTACCCTCAGGTATCGCAGTTTATTTCGAATCATTAGAACCGCTAGGCAAGTGTTTTCTTTTCTTCTTTACTCCTGTTACCCCCAATGGAGCATCAACCGCCGACAAATATTCTCCAGCCTACTGTGTTCTGGGCTTTCCTTTCTAGTTCTGTCTAATTCTTGTTCGTTCTTCTCATATCTGTCTCCATTACTAGGTGTATTGTCATCTCAGACTTTGGACAAATTAATTAGTCCACTATTCTCAAGTTATTAATCATTTGTCTTTTGAACTTATCAGTCATTCACTACTCATACCTTGGTGACTTTGCTTCGAGCGTATGTGCACACCTATCTGGATTATTACAGGCTTGGCTTATTTTGTCACCCTATAAACGCTTAGACATACTTCATTGAATTAAGTTGGTTTAACTCACCTTTTCCACTTCGATTTACTTGTATTCTCTTCATTATCGTGTCTGCATGAACGATTGGCTGGAATGAGCTGATCCAATCGAATTCATATTTGACTTTCTCAAATTGAAATCAAATCACCAATCACATTCAGATAAATGTTAACTAGAATGCTGGTTGAACGCACGTCTCACAACTTAGTTCGGATAACTTTGTAGAATTTAATTTGTCCTACAGATGTAATTCTAGAACGGTAAACGCAATATTGGCGAGCACAGAGTCTATGGGAAAGCTATAGTCAGAATAAGATCAACTTTTGCTTTAAACTTTATCTTATTCTGTAGGACAAATTAAATCCTACACACTTCGCAAACCATATGATCTTTAGATAAAGCAGTTAGATGCAGATTAGTAAACAACGATTTTATTCAACATGTAACAATCAGGTTCTCATAATGTTGTCACAGTTGAAACAGTTCCAATCTTATTAAAGGATTAATAAACTTTCAGGTTTTAGTGATCGAGTCATTTATTCAAACCTCATAAAAATAACTTGTGACTTTAGTAAAATATGACATGAAACTTACCACCCCATTGAAATGGAAAATTTCTATTTAAATCTATTCCAACGCATACTTCACCTTCTGTTTGAGCTCGATTTTTACGCCATAAACGATACTGTAATACAAAGTTAATTGTAAATATTTTAAACTTAAGGCTTATAATACAATTTTTACAAAGTCAATATTTCAAATTATGATTTGAACTACTTACGTAACGAATGCAATTGTTTAGGATAAACTAATTCTCTGCTGAATAACTGAAAGAAGTTTCAGTGCAAACAGATATGCATTTACACTTATACTATGCCATTTATATGAAAATGACAATTCATATAAATAGCTATAATCAGATTTATACTTTATTCACCTTGGGTAAGCAATATCCGTACAGTTCCTTACACATTATTCAATACTTACAGTCTAAATAAATATTTACAGATACTGAACATACTGTATTTGGAATTCGTGAGTGTTAATACATAAGAGGAGCTCCATTCTAACTGGTCATTTGACTTTGGTTGTTCAATCTGTAAGATCTGAAAGTAATGGGTTCAACCATAAATGACATTGCGGAATCGTGGTACTGGGGAATTGTGTGGTGAACTACTAGTGAAAAAGTCTCTGACTTGTCTTTTTTTAAATTGAAATGTTGTTAATGTAGCTGTCTACACATTAAACGAGTCGAATGTTGAATTTCTTACTATTTTTTTTGTTGAAAAGTTTATTCAAAAGCATACCTTTGTTCGTGTATACTCATATCCATCTGGATTCACAACTGGAACTATGTAGAATTGAAAATGTTTTAAAAGTGTTTGTCCTAATGGTCGCATAAGCTAAAAATTAAAAAAAGAATGTACAGTTTAAATCATGAATTAATCATTCTAGGCAGTTGATGAAAAAGCAGAAAGTATTGGATATCGATTTTGGTATAGTATGACCCTCGTTCGTGATGTGCATCTGAGTCTCTATTGCGAAACGGATGAACATAGTGCATTCGGTTTCGCTCGTGAACACCTAACCTGTAGATCACTGATACAAAGTTCATTCATGTGCACATATATGTCACAATCATTTTGTAATATTATGAGACTGTCGCCTATTGTCTGAACTGAACAACTCTCTCTCTCACATAACATTGTTGCATACCATTGGTCACTGCCGCTAAATAGCATTCTAAAAAAATGTATCTTGAAGCTAATCGATAGTTAGGACATGATAATAACCTGTATAAGTGGTGTGGAGATCATTGAATTTGTCGAGATTACATACCGTTTAGAGACCTGAATAGCATTCAGTAATCTTTACAACTCCCTGCTCTACTGATAGATATTCAGTGGTACGTGAAGTAAGTAATACTTAGCTAAAACACCACTAATAATTTTCTGTCGATACGTCTCAAATATGTTGACTTGAAGCACATCAATTACATATTTTGGAAAGTGATCAGTCCGTATCAGAAGACAATGTACTGAATATTCAATTCTAACCAGTCAAAATGGGTGATTTCACAAATTCTGTGAAGACTATGCAGATTATACGAGATTAGGTCGGCATTGTTTAATAATGATTGCTTTAAGAATGCTGCGAAAACACTATTAAATGAAATCATATTTAAGAGAATCATTCTGAACATTAAGAAAACTACATTTAAAAATCACCTTATTGATTATACTTAATGCTGTAGCTGGTGCAATCCATTCTCTTGCATGAATACCGGCATCAATCCATATGATTGGCTTTGTTGAATCTGTTGATATCTTAAAAAGAATGAATACATACACTTTCAGTATGATACACCTTGCATTAAATTATCATATTGTAAGTAATAATCATATCAGTGAATACATTATGATGTTTTTTTGTTAAAAGTAGTTTTGAAGATATTGGTTTGATGTGTAGAAAATTACCTATCGTCAGGACCATAAGATTGTTAAAAATGAAAAGTTTGAGTTCAATCTGTGACGAGAAGCTCCAATAAAAAAAATAAATCTGTTTGATGTACTACTCTAGCTTTTAATGGTATCACAATTGAGATCATGTGTTGAAGAAATAATGTGTTATATCGACTATGATATAGTTAATAAGTTTAACAGTGATCAAAGTACAATTGAGAGAATTAAATTGCATAGTTTGTCACTGACATGCACGTGAAGTGCAAGAAATGTAAACGCTGATAGTTTGTAATTGCTATTGCTATTTATTTCCAAGTTAATGATGTTGATCACATTATGATAAGAGATCTCACTGTCAAGCTTATTATGACATGCTGGTTGCACATATATATCGTAATGACAAAATTTAGCTACAGTTACTTGAGCACTAGTTTATGTAGGCCGAAGAATAGTTGGACTAACGACAATGAAGTCGATGTCTATGAACATTGTTGTCCTGCTGATTATATGACTTGTGACTGAAGAAATCGAGAAACTCAAGTGATGTTGCCTTTTATAAATAGATGGAAAGTTTTTAAAAATAGACCCGTAAAAACATAACTCATCTGTCCTCACAGATCTTCTTAGTCGATAGCAAAGCCTTGAAAATATTGATCTGGCTCATCTGAAACGTCATATGCGATCGACGTCGAGCAGTTGTTACTTCAGATCTATATCTATGCTGTCAAATCTCTGAGAACACGACTAATTCAGTTTCTTTTTCGGGTATCTAAGGGGAACATGTCCTGTTACGCTATGAGTTACCTAGTTTTATCGAGCACCATCATACTTCTAACAACATGTAAAATAACCTTGTCCTCGTATGCTCGAACGTTCTTTCATTAGATAAAAGAGATCGTGTTGTGGTCAGTGATTTATTCTTCAATATCAGTTCCTCAATGGTTTTCGTTGACAATCCAGTGTTGTGAGCCGTCATCATATCACTTTAATGAGTCTGTTTATTAGTCAACATTGGATCCATCCCTATTATTAATTACTTCATTTGATCACAAGTCATCAAATCTTCAAAAATATTGTGGATCTAGAATTCTAGAATTCTTCAACGTACATTTGCTTGAACCATTACATCTCTGTGTAAAATGTAGACTCAGTTCACTTGAAAATTAAAGTTTGATTGTCAAACAAATAGTTCTAACCTTTTTGTAAATGTACAAAAACCCTGTTAAACTTCATTACACTCACTTTAACTCCCTTCATTGGTCGACCTTCAGCTGTATAACCAAAATCTTCTACTGTCATATGTGAATGCGTTCGACTCAACTGGTCTAAATATTGAACTATCTGTCACATAGAAAATGAAATGGCAATTCATTAGTCACATATATTATCTGTAAATGATTTGAACTACCGAATTTCTCATGAACAACAGCATGTCTCAACATTTGTTACAGTAGTGAAAGTGTACAAAACATAATTATTACCAACGGAGAGGAGGTTAGTTTTGATAGGACAATGAGAAGAGGGAGTTGATCTTGTAAATATGATGTATTTGCTCCATACATTTCAAAAATTATATATGCGATCAGATTGTTCGAAATGTAGAGCACAAATAAATCGCTTTTTCCACATCACCTCTGTCGTCTCATTGTTCTGCCAAAGTTTTTAAAAGGTACTAACCGCTTTAAATGTCTGGAAAGTTTGATTGTTTGGTGGTTGGAAAGAGTTTGGCACGTTCTAGGAATTGATACCTTTGATAATGTACGGATTTATATTTCTCTTTTGATAGAAACTCTTATCAACCAACTTTACATTCTGTAAGTTTATCACTGACTTACTGACATCCTGTTGAACTGAGATACTTACTGTCGTTTGATCACTGAAGAGTGAGAAATATCATATTTGATTAATCCTCCAGTACTGACTGAATTTAATTGAGTCACTAGTGGTTAGAATGCGACTTAGTCAATAGAATTCGGTCAGAGTTAAACAGGTTTGAACACACAGTACACTTATCAATATCCAGTTTTATGACAAACACTCCATGAAACTTAGTAATAAAGGCAGATGTCAACAGGTCACAAATTCCATACATAATTCATAATCATATCAATCGGTTTCATGATTAATTTGAGTAAGAAACCAATCATGTAATGACTGAATGATCTTTGATCATATTACGCACTGATAATGACGAAATTTAATAGATTTATTAATTTCAGTACTGTGCGGCAGTTTGCTCCGTCCTACTGTACGGATGCTAAACATGGTTATTATTGTAGAAATATTAGTTATGAAATTATCATAGAGGTTACCCTTCAAATCAAGAACTCAGCACGGATATAGAAGGCTCGATTAGCTTTTGCCAACCTGCATCACTTATGGAGTAGGCGAGATATCCGCTTGTTAACCGAAGGACGAGTGTACTGTGCAGCAGTTCGCTCCGTTCTACTGTACGGATGCGAGACTTGGCCGTTAAGAGTAGAGGACTTCCGTAGGTTACTAGTCTTCGATCAAAGGTGTATCCGAAGCATTGCTCGTGTATCCTGGGACGACCGAGTAAGCAATGCTATCGTTAGGAAACGAGTTCTAAGTAGGGATGGCAAATCAATAGATGAAGCATTGGAACTTCATCAGTTGAAGTGGTTGGGACATGTGTTACGTATGGCTAACCACCGACAGCCGCGACGAGCTATGTTTTGTGGTGTAGGAATAGGTTGGAAGAAAGTTAGGGGTGCTCAAACCAAAACATGGAACAAATCCATGAAGTCACTGACAAGTGGACTGAGGGCTACCTGGTTGGGGTCCGTGAGACGAAAGTCACCAATGGTTAGAGACCTTGAACGTCATGTCTCAGAATCGTTTGCAATGGCGCAGGTGCATCCACTCTTTGTGCTCTCTCAAACTATAACCTTCTGAATTCCTCATAATCTCTACCTTTCTCCCTCTAAATTTATCTTACTGAATTATACTTCTCGGTTCATATCTTTGCTCCCTAATCTTCTCGATTATTGCTAATACTTCTATTATTGCTATCACTGTTGGATTTGAACCGACAGTTGCGTTTCTGTGCTGATGTGGTATGGCAACCTGAACTGATGTACGTACGTACGAAGTTCTGCGTTGCATCTGTCTGTCTGACAGACAGATAATCAGACAATACTATAATCTTTTTGTTCTCTAAATCTGATGTCATAAAAAAAGTTTGATAAGTTGAGTTTCAATGATTTTGGTAAGCCTTTCAGAGAGTTTGTTTTAGAAACAGAATGATCAAAGTCTTTACAACAAAAATGGACATCAGGAAACGTATGACAAATAAATAATTGTCAACAACGCATTGTGGTCAGTGAGGTCAAACGATTATTCCTCTAATGCCATGATTTCTTTAAAATCTAAATTGTAAGAATTTGTTAGATAATTTCATGTTCTCTAATTTTAATAAATTTATACAATACCGTAGCTAGAATGCTCAAGTGTTTTTTCTACACTGTTGAAATTATTTATTAGTGCTCTGGTATTCTTTCCTAATCCATAAATCATAATAATGGCTAACAGTAATACAAGTAGTTACATGAACTGATGTACTTAAGTACCAAGCTCTACGTTGCATCTGGCTGACTGACTGACTTTGACTGAGTTACAAGTAGCTAACGAATTGATAAAATGTTAAAATAGATAGATTCATTTTACCTCATTAAATGATTTGTAATATGGTTTACTTCGTCCTGTTCTTAAAAAACTTGATACTCTTCTAAAATGATTCTCACGTTGTTCATCAAGTATTGCTCTGAAATTTGAAATATTTAATTTCATCAGTACAATTGAATAATATTATTACGGAACATTCAATAATTATCAAAAATGAGAGTTTTTGAAGTTTATTCAATTTTACTGAGGTCATATAATCGATGTAAGTTTGAATATGTTTGAAACCAGTTGTTTTGTGCTACTATAAGACTCTTCCATGGTGTATATCAGTAACACAACTGAGATTTGAGCTTATGAGCGTTAGGTTTAACAGTGACAATGCAAATTTTGGACCAGTATGCAATGATTCATATTTGAAATCATCAATCAATCATTGTTAGACCACCATTAGAAACCTGAACGGCCATTTTGTACTGGTACGGGACCGTTCAACAGTGCGCATCCACGACCCTGCATCTCACAGGATTCGAACCCGGGACCTGTGGTATTTTGCGTGAACGCGTTACCTTTGGACCGACCACTAGGCCGGATTCCAACGGTGTTAATGGCTGATTCTGATTGATTTGGGGATCTTGATCGACCCCACCCATTTGTCTTTGGTGACCAGTGGAGTCCAAGCCTGTCAGGTGTAGGCAGTAACTATCAAAGACAAATGGATGAGGTCGCGCAAAATCAGACTTAGGCAATAACACCGTTGGAAGCCGGCCTAGTGGTCCAAAGGTCAGGCGTTCGCGCAAAATACCGTAGTTCCCAGGTTCGAGTCCTGCCAGATGCAGGAGTCGTGGATGCCCACTGCTGAAGAGTCCCATACCGGGACGAAATGGCCGTCCAGTGCTTCTAGGTTTCTAATGGTTGTGTAACAATGATTGATTGATGATTTCAAATGTGTAAAAAACATTAATCTCCATAACTCTAATTGAAAATGATCCATATGTCGAAATTCCATTCATTTCGGTTGGCACCTACTTCACAATCCAATCCAATCTAGTATTTCCAATATCTTAGTAGTTTTCAGACACAGGTCGGTTCGTGACCTCAAGACATTTAGATAAGTTGTGTTCAAATCATTCCTGTAGATCGTTCAGATAACGTTTAGGAAATATAAGGATGAAGATGTGAGTTCAGTCTATCGAATTTGAATCAAAACGATTGATTGTTATCTAAGTTAATCAATTTTTCTTACTAAAGTATCATAAAGTTGACCACTGCCTTTACATGTTAACTAACGTCTGAACATTATCTTTCAAGTAATAATTATACATCAAAATATTCCCTTAATTATCTGATTTCCTAACAGTGGATGAGTACATATGGAGCGCTATACATAGATAGATGTGATGGGATTATTACTTGTTTTCTCAACCACATCTATGACTTGCACTCAGTGGTCTTGTTTATATATCATGATGACTCAACTTAGTTAGATATGAACACTCGTTTCCCAAGGTAGGTCGGTTGTCTTAGAAGCAAAACTTACATAACAGGCCTGGGGTAAAACGGATCATATCAAGCTGCTTACAGTACTGGGATATGACAGAGATAAATTCCCTAATCATTCACTCTCCAACAACCTGTACTCATAGTGATATCATATTCTAAGATTCAGATAGGCGTATCCGAAAATTGCACAGTTTGTCTTCACCTAATAATTTTCATCAACAGAGATATTTCTCGAAAAGAATGAGGACACTCACATAATGTTTTTGTATGATCTGGCTTCAAATACCCGAGTCATCAAAACCCTTAGTAGTTTAATTCCTTTTCTAATCCCTTAAACTAATGATATCCGATCACTGTGTAAACAACTGATAAGTAACAACTGCTCATGCCTGTAACGACCAAGGAAACTATTCTGGGTCACAGTCAAACACAATCAAACTTGACTGCCTAACAGAGCTTCCATTTGATTCAATTTTTTTATCTACATTTATGATAACTATCTACATCAACTTCATCGACTACGAGAAAGCATTCGATAGCGTGGATAGGAAAACACCGTGGAGGCTTCTCTGACACTACGGTGTACCTGAGAAAATAGTTAACATCATACGGAATTCTTATGATGGATTCAACTGCAAAATCGTACACGAAGAACAGCTAATTGACTCTTTCAAGGTGAAGACCGGTGTCAGGCAAGGTTTCTTACTCTCACCCTTTCTCTTTGTCCTGGTTATCGATTGGATTATGAAGACGTCGACGTCTGGAGGGAAGCACGGTATTAACTGGACAGTTAGGACGCAGCTGAACGATCTGAACTTCGCAGATGACCTGACTCTTCTGTCGCACACTCAACAACAAATGCAAGAGAAGACGACCAATGTAGCAGCAGTAGGTCTCAACATACATAAAGGAAAAAGCAAAATTCTCCGATGCAACACAACATGCACCAACCAAATCACTCTTGAGGAGATGCCTTGGAGGACGTTAACACCTTTACATATCTAGGCACCATCATCGACGAGAAAAGTGGATCCAATGCAGATTTGAGGGCGCGGATTGGCAAAGCTAGGGTTGCATTTCTACAGTTGAAAAATATCTGGAACTCCAAACAACTTTCAAACAAAACCAAAATCAGGATTCTCAATACAAATGTCAAGACAGTTCTACTGTATGGAGCGGAAACTTGGCGAACTACGAAAGCCATCATTCAGAAGATACAAGTATTTATTAACAGTTGTCTAGACAAAATACTTCGAATCCGTTGGCCAGACACCATCAGAAGCATCCTACTGTGGGAGAGAACAAATCAGATTCCATTGGAGGAGGAAGTGAGGAATAAGCGGTGAAAGTGGATAGGACACACACTACGAAAAGCACCGAACTGCATCACAAGACAAGCCGTCACTTGGGACCCTCAAGGCAAAAGGAAAAGAGGCAGGCCAAGGAACACATTACACCGAGAAATAGAGAAAGATATGAGAAGAATGAGCAAACATTGGACAGAACTTGAGAGGGAAGCCCAGGACAGAGTTGGTTGGAGGAAACTGGTCAGCGGCCTATGCTCTATTGGGGGTAACAGGTGTAAGTAAGTAAGTATGATAACCATGCAAATAAAGATTTAAAGCTCGATGTATAAAAGTGAATCTTGAAACAACTTGTACAAATTCAGTCATTTCCATGAAACATTGACATGGTACTCAATTCGAAAATTCAACCCAGTTTTTTTACATAACAGAAAAAAAATGCTTGTTTCACATGAAACTATTTGATATAATAAGCCTACTTTTGTAAATTACTAACTATTATTTCATAAGATATCTTCATATGATCTAAATAGTTTGTAAGATTTCGAAATCCAACAGGTGATACCGATATGTACATTGAAGTATTCTGATATCTCGGAAATGTCCATATATCATAGTTTTCCTATAAAACAAAAAATAACAAACGAATATGACTAGAAATAAAACTTTATGTTCATTTTCATAGTTTGCATCATAAAACTAATCTGTGTGGTGGACAGTATCTCAATAGTTTCTTGGCCATCGGTATGCGATATGTTCTTACACTTCATATGTTGCTCGTCCAGAAAATCGTTATTAAAATAACGCCTAACGGTTTATAAATTAAAAGAAGAATACGAAGTGTTGAATACGTTCATTCGGTGCACCACAAATAGACCACTAAACCATAGGCAAACGAGGCAAAAGTCAATATAAGAGTGCCAAAAGAGCAAGCAAGTGAATAAGCGAGTTAGTGAATTCAACTAATAGGATTAAATTGTACATTTATATACATAGGAAAATGAATTAGTCATCGGAATATTTAGGTGACTAGTATTAAAGTGAATAGGATGAATATGTTGCACGTAGGCGGTAAGAAATGTTTATTCACACCGATTGATACATGCTCGACATATAAGTTGTTATTAAACGAATGACTCAGTTAAATAAGCTAATCAAAAAGCTTAATCAAATTACATATGAACGAATTCAAATGCATGTGGAGTTACAGTATTTTAATTTGTTAACCATTGAGAACCAAAAACGTATTATACAGCATTTTCATCATCATATGGAACTGTCGAGCACTGTACATTCACAACCTCATCGGTGATGGAACAAAATGAATTCAATTTCTCATATCAAATTTCAACCCATGGTTTATGTTGGGGATGTTAGTTCCCCAGAACTCGCTTGATAAAAATCTTTATTTTGGATTTATTGACCTTGGGATCACATTCCCCACCAGGAAAAGCCTTGGCTGTGATTGGTTACTGTGTGATTTTAGTGTGCTATTTTTGTGACTGTTCCAAGGACGTCTCTATGGCGAGTATAAATAAACGCAATCTGAGTGCTTGGATTTATTGTGTGCTAGCTGGGTGTTTGTAGAATACACTTTCTACGCTATATCATGATTTCCTGTTGGTACAATTGGGTCAAGGGATCACAGTAGCCTACCTGGACGCTGGTTCATTGTTTTGTTCTCGTTATTCGACCAAAGTGAACCCGTAAATGTTTTAGGCATACCTAGAGACGAGCGTAACAGTTTATATACATCTATTCTTTATGTACTAAGTTTTGACAAAGTTTTGTACAATTTAATTGTTATGAATCATTTATAAGTGATTGATTTCTAAGTAGTGCTGATGAAATTGTAACTCGACGACGCCTAATGTCAACACCGTGTACATTAAAATGGGATATTAGATGTTTGAAAGATGTTAGTAGTAAAAGCTGATTTACACGAGTTTAATTCGACATGGTTCATACCAGCAAGCAATATCTATAATCTTGATGACTACTGTTAAATATCACGAAACCTAAGGTCAGGATTTCCTACTGAATACCTTTGACCAATTCTAACACCAAAAGTGTTCATTATATGCAGTACTAATAGAATTAAGTTATTCATAGCAAAATCTGCCTTTTTTATGTTATTTTATTTAAATTGTAAATACTCAATAATTGAATATTAAGTAAAATAGTGAAAAACTAATATCTAAATGAACTAAATGTAAATATATGTCACTGAGTTAAAAGATTAAAAGAGTAAGTAACTCATAGTTAATGCTATTATTTTGGTTACATACACTAAAAATCCAGTTAGCCATTCATTATAATCAACGTACAGCATAGAACTAATGTAAGCTGACCCAATCGATCAGTCACTTAGTCAGCTACAACTTAGAACTTCGTACGTACAGACATCACTTCAAGTTGTCAAACGACATTAGCATAGAGATGCAATTGTTGATTCGAGGTAGTAGAAGTATGAGCAGTAATTGGAAAGATTATGATTCGAAGATATTATTCAACCAGTGAACTAAATTTTAAAATAGAAAAGTAATGCTGACAAGGAATTCAGAAGATTAGGATTTACAACACGCACTTGTTCAACTGCAAATGATTTTGAGCCATGTCATTCAAAGTCTTCAACCAACGATTACGATCCAGTTAGTATACACTTACCAACATTACTCAGTTCGCTTGTCAGTATCTGCATGCATTTGTGTCGGTCTGGCCACCCCTAGCTTTCTTTCAACCTACTTCTTCACAAAGCAAACATCATCTATCAAGTTATTGGGACGCTTGTATATCTGTACGGATAATTTTCATGATACTCTCATAGTACATGTATAACATCATAACTTAAAATAACTACTACTATTTTATGAATAAATTTTAATTCAGCCATCAATAGTCTAAACAAATAACCATAATTAATTTTGGGGCTAACACTGCTGGATGCCGGCACGGCGGTCCGATGGTTAGGCGTTTGCGCACAATACCAAAGGTCCCGGGTTCGAATCCTGCGAGGTGCAGGAGTTGTGGATGCGCACTGCTGATGAGTCCCATACCAGGAGGAAACGGCCGTCCAGTGCTTCCAGGTTTCTAATGGCGGTATAACAATGATTGATTGATGATTTTATAATTAATTTGTTGGCCTACAATTTCATTTCAACATTTTCATTTACAAGCTTCTTCAATGTAGTTATTCATTTGAGAATTCGCGCTTATCTATGCGTAATGAATATTTGATTGATTTAAACTAGACACTACAGTTTATTGATCAACAACAGTTCAAAACAATCTAGTCTAAAACTATCATAGTTTATATCAATCAGTATAATGATGATATTGTGAACTAATGTATGTGAACTAATTACCAGTGAAGTAAAACACACACACAGATTCGTTTGATTTCTATGATTAAAATAAAAATTGTATTCTTACTATTATTATTTACTACAATCAAATTAAAAACGCAACTTACCGGTTCGTTAAGGCTTAAATCACTGATTGTATTTAATGATTTACGATCGGAAATTTGCATTCGTAACACTTTGAAACTGTCAAAACAGAGAGAAAAAGGAACATCATTATCATAAATGGATATGTGGTGTGTGCTACTTATACGAACGAAATAAGTAGTATAAGAAGGGACGTGAAAGAAGTCTCACGGTCAGAAGAGGAAAACGGAAAGCAAATGGAGCAAAAGCAAGAAGTGAATGGAGTACCAACAGGAATGAAAGAAGCATGGAGTGTTGGAAGTCACGACTCAAAGATGGTGTGCAAATAGAGTATTCAATGTAATGTTGTCGTTTTTAATTGAGAAAGAGTGTAAATTTGCATAATACAATCTTCCGCGCCAGCTTCAGTCTTCTCAGATATAATAACAAATTGTATCATTAAAAAATATTGAATATTATTGACAGAATTAACAATTGACGTTTATTGGAAAAAAATAGAATAAATACACAACCATCTAGTTGTCCATGAAGTCAAATCAATAATTACAGTTTTTCTAGACTGATAAAATCAAGAGACTGTTGTAAATTTACAATATATATACACTTTGAAAGTCGTATGAAACATTCTATACATTTAGTTATTTGTGATAAATCTCTTAAGATTTAGACTAAAATTGATCGGTGTCCAAGATACAGATAATTATTTAGTACAAATCGTAGTGAGATGGTGGAGAAAATTTTTAGTTCAGGTGGATGATTGTGGTGATGTTCGGTTCTCTCAGCACAAACTTTGTGCTGATCATGTTGTTCAGAAGAAGAACAATGAAAGCTCCACAACTAAAACATCCAGCTCAAAGAACCAAACACCACCACATATCATAGTAAAATAGAAGAACAGAGTGAAATAATGTCAACTTTTTTGAAGGATGAACAATGAATGTGTTTTAGAGGTAAATACTACACTGAACTATGAAAAGTGTTGATGATTTTTACACCAATTTTCCATAGCTCTGATTCTATGGATTTATTTCATTGAAGATAAGCTAACAGCTGGATAACCATCAATGCTAACTGTGAAAATCTTAAAGGTTCATTTTAAAATTTAAATTTATTTGAATAACATATAGTTAGTGTTAAAAGTAAGTAATTTATTTGTGTTGATTTTTTATTGTGTCTAGATAAATCACTTTAAATAAAATTCATTGAATGAAATATTCTGGAAAGATAATTATCAGCAGTTTATTTACAAATGTCAGGAGTAATTATGCGTCTCTTAAGGTAGCCAAATGACTCGTCATCTAATTGAATGGGTATAATAATTAACGCGCATAAATGGAGCCTTCTGGGGGTTGTGGTGGCGGCAACATGGCGTTGTTTACAGCGCTCAGGCCAAAAGCCGTTCCGAACACTTAGGATTCCGTGCCTAGTATGATCCAGAATAATGGTACGTGTTCATGGTCCCAAGGCTGTGGATGCGGTTAGCCACTGGCGGGATTCGGATAGAACGCCTCTAAGACTGAATCCAGTCCCCTGAACGTAGGTAAATTTGAAATAATGGGATATAGTTTCCCAGGATACCTGACGGCGGGCCTAGACGATTTGCTTGGGGAAGCAGCCGTAGAGATCCTAGACTATGGATGCCGACCGTATGTGGTTGTCCCAAACACTCTGCATCTCGGTGTATTGTGTAAACTACCGTCGAGGCCCCTTAAACAAGGCTCTGCGGTTGGGTTATGTGATCCAGTGCTGAAAAGGTACTGGACGCCAATGATATCTGCCCACTTATGTAGTGGGATTAACGGCTGAGTTCTTGCGCTTGGTTGAGTCCATGACATCTACCCCATGGGAGGGTGTACTTTTCGGCTGACCTTGTTGGACAAACTCGATCTTTAACCTCATGTACTGTCTGAAGGCTCCGATCGATTGTATCAGCGCAAGGTAGTTGGAGGCCAGACGATTGAAATGGCTGCTGGGTTGCTCGGTAATCCGTTCGGGGCGCTAGGTATAGCTGGGTGAGCCCGCCTTGTCGCCCTTGCCGACTGGAGATCGCAGGTAGTGGATTGGTGGAGGGATCTCTTGATTGATAAGTGTTTCGAACGGGGACACTGCTTGTACGCGTGCTTTTTGGACGTCCACTTGTCTGTAGACCAATTTAGACAACATTTGCGTTCCCGTATGGGGCAGCGGTGATTGAAAAATTGGCTTTTGTGAGAATCCTTTTACTATCTAAAATGCAGCGGCTTGCATGTTCAGCAGGCTTGCTGGTCAACCAAGAATATTTTACAAATGTCAAAAATTAGTACATTTTTTATGAACAGGCTAAATAATTTGTATTTAAATGGAAATAAGATTTGATCTTTTTAAAATGTTTAGAATCTAGTAGCATTAACAATACATGTTTATACATGTTTAGCTGAACTATAATTGTCGCATACAGTAATCAGAGGTAATTAGTATTTAAAAACCAACTATCTCTTCAACGTAAAGACAAGAAAACCATGTTAATTATTATAAATCATCATACTTTGAACATCATGAGGGAAAAAATCAATAATTGAAGTAAATTTAACTCGTACTAAGTCAAACAGGTCACACTTACAATTTGGTCGAAATGTTTCAAACTAACGAACAAGTGTCCATTAACAGAACGAATATTTAGCTAGACGATTAGCAGTGCCAATGTTGTTACTTTAACTACGTGGATGTGGAGATTGTTAAGTTACTCACTGAAATCATGAATCCATCAAATTTAGACCACCATTAGAAACCTGGAAGCACTGAACTAGTGAGAAGTCATGACCAGTGGAATTGAACCCTGTTCGGGTGTAGACAGTAACTACGGAAGACAGTGTATGAGGTTGCGCGAAACCGTGAATTGATCGAAGTTAGACATCAATACCGTTGGACGCCTGTCCAGTGCACCAGAAGTTGGGTTTCCGCGTGCAAGACCTGATGTTTTGGGTTGGAATCCTGCGAGATGCAGGAGTCGTGGATACTTGCGGCTGATGAGTCCCATACCGTGACGAAACAGCCGTCTTCCAGTGTTTCCAGATCTCTGAGGATGGTCTAAATTTGTTGGATTCATGATTTCAATGTTGTCAGTCTATTAAAAATTTAAGTGTAATAATAGACAGATTTTCATTAGTACGACGATTACATATTATTCACTTGACCTTGAAATGTTACATTGATTGTAAATTTTACGAATATGAACCGAGACTTTAAGTGCTGACATCTTGCAGTTCATACATCAAACAGACATGATGACGAATATGATTTCACACAAAGAGAACATTTAAAGGTGTAAAATCTTTCAAATTGTAAAATATATTGTCTCCCAGTGATCAATGAGATTCAGTTAGTGTTGAATATTCAAAAACCTTAACTTGAGCTATCGGAACAATCGTAATGGAGGTTATTCGCAGCTGAAATAGCTCATTGATAACTTCACTGACTGTGAAGTTGAGTGATACGTGATGTAATACATTGGGGAGTGTCCGTTACCTCACGATTATAGGTACATCTTGCTAATGAATATTAACTACCTCTAACCATCATATTACATCATAATTACAATTTCAAGTGATTTAATGTTTCCCTATATTGAATTATTTTTTCACTTTTGAAATCCATCTAACTCAATAATTTTCTAGATTTTTATGAGATTATCTACTGTGCTTTATTTTTAACTCAGCTACAAAGTGAACCAATGTTAAGTTTGTTCATTAGATGATAAATATTCAAACCTTAGTAACATAAAGCTACTTCATCATGACTGAGTAAGTAATCAGTTTTCTTTGCCAACCTTACTTACTTACTTACTTACGCCTGTTACCCCCAACAGAACACAGACCTCTGACCGGATTCTCCGACCTATTCTGCCCTAGGCCTTCCTTTCTAATTCTGTCCGATCGCTGTTCATTCATCTCATGTCTGTCTCTATGTCTCGGCGTAATGTGTTCCTTGGCCTTCCTCTTTTCCTTTTGCCTTGAGGGTTCCAAATGTGAGTTTGTCTTGAGACGTAGTTGTTTGCTTTCCTCAATGTGTGTCCTATCCACTTCAATCGTTTCTTCCTAATTTCTTCCTCTGCTGTCATCTGGTTGGTTCTTTCTCAGAAATAGGTTACTGCTGATAGTGTCTGGCTAACATATACGAAGTAGTTTGTGTTGACAAGTGTTGATAAACACTTGTATTTTCCGAATGACGACTTTCGTGGTTCTCCAAGATTCCGCTCTATGCAGTAGAACTGTCTTGACATTTTTATTGAAAATGATGACTTTTTTGTTCCTTGATAGATTTTTGGTGATCCTAATGTTCTTCAAGTGTAGAAATGCAGCCCTGGCTTTGCCGATCTGCGCCTTTACATTGGCATCAAATCTACTTTGCTTGTCAATGGTGTTGCCTAAATATGTACGGGTTTTTACGTTCTCCAAGGCATCTCCGTCAAAAGTGATTTGGTCGGCGCTTAAATATAAACCCTACAAACGATCTGCTATTTAGAAATATTTTTCACAATTTGATAGTGGTAATCAATGTATGATGTGTTCAAAACCAGAAACGTTTCAATGTTATAGGGATAGATTACACTGTTAAGCATTACCAAATAAAATCTACGTAACTATCAAAATTTTGCTAAGAATAATATCTTCATTTAGAATTATTGAGATTGTTGTGTTTTTACACATTGAAATCATCAATCAATCATTGTTAGACCACCATTAAAAACCTGAAAGCACTGACTTGGCCAATAGAGTTCAACCTTCTTGTGTGTAGGCAGTAACTTCCACAGACAAATAGATGTGGTTGAGCAAAATCTCTAGATTGATGAAAGTTAGACAGTAACACCGATGGTCCTGAGTTTAGGCGTTCGCGCGTAAAATCGAAGGTTCTGGGTAGGGATGCTGCGAGATTCAGGAGTCATGGATGCTTACTGCTGATGAGTCCCATACCGGAACGAAGCGGCCGTCTTTCAGTGCTTCCATGTTTCTAATGGTAGTCTAACAAAGTTCGATTGATCACCGCCAACAATCATGATAAAAAAAATCAATTCACTCAAATATCTTATCAATTTTTTAAACTTACTTATAATAATGAGTATGTGATGCAGTGATAGTATGAGGCAAAGTTATTTTAATCAATAAAATTTGCAATATTAATCCAGAAATGGAAATATTCATTAATAAAAATAGTAAAATTTTCATTGTATATTAATTAATTTTATACAATAATTATCATGATAGTGTAATTAAAAAAAAAAGTTGATTCTGACTAGTTAGCTGTAGTACATGAATTATTTATTCGATTTAATGAATTTATTCATATAAAAACAGTCATGTCAAATATTCCGGTATCATGAATTTTTATCACACGTGATGTTGTAACACTGTATGCATCATGATCAACGGACTGGTAAGAGAAGTAGTAATAAATAGGGGAGTGAAGAATGAATGAACTAACACTATCAAATGGGTTTGATTGAATAGACCAGATAGGGGCAGATAGATGTATGTGTACATGTAGATACGGACAAGGAATAAGATGAAACTATACACACATATTTATATATGCATATATCTAAATGACCTAATAAATTCACTATTGTACAGACATTTGAAGTAAACATCATTCATATTTGTTTAAAATAAAAATTTTTTTAAAAAAAAGACTATAATATTTGATGAAAACCGAATTGATAAACAGTTATAATTAAACATTCGTACACATTTGTACATACACAACTACTATTCAATAATTCAATAAATGACTCTGTCGATAAATTTGTACTACTGATTTATGTATGTATAGTATCATGTAATCAACATGTAAATTTGTATTGTTCCGAACACTAATCGGTTTTAGTTCAATCTTCAATAATAATTGATTTGAAAATAATATATAATGATAGAATATGATTGTATACTACTATCAAAATAACTTATTAGTAATATCTTTTACTTAATATTCAAATACTACGGATTTAGATTGATGTAAAGATAGAAATATATTATACAGTGCTGAGAAATAACTGAAAGGATAACTGACATTCAGAATAATGAATAGTTTTTGAATTATTGAAGTGTATAATAGCAGCTTATTGCTTTGTAGCTGACATTAAACCGATTAGTTTTTCAAGGTGTTCCTGAGGATAAATTTTAACGATATGACAATGAATGTCAATGGAACAGAGACAGGTTTACGTGTTAATTAAATATGTTCACTGATTAAAATATAAGCATAACCTTTTACAATTTATAGAATTATTTCATTCATTCTAAATCAATGTTATGTAAGATTTAAATAATTGAATTTCAAGTAAATAATTTGATTGTGAAACCATCAGGAATACATATAACATATAACATAACATATAAATTGTGAAAAACCTGTCAGCATAAATCGATAATTAGACATCAGGTTAGAGTTGGGGCGTCCATGCGTTTGTGTGTTCCGTGCTGTGCACAGGTGTTTTCCTATGTGCACGGTATACGTATATGCATCAATCACGCATAGATGTCAGTGATTCTTTGCCATCCGGGTGCAGTCCGCACGTTTTTACACGAAAAAATCCACGCCCTTCGCTTTCCCCATCTCTGCAGCTTGTAGGAGATCTCGGAACTAGAGAGAGTCTCCGTATATATCATGGCGGGTGAGAGCATGTGCAATGCGCGACATTTTTTGGGAAATACTGATTGTGCATGTGGTTGGCGACCACAAAGCACAGAAAACTAACTCACAAAGAATCGCTAAGCAGAACAATTATTTCAAACGATTATCTCTCAGCTATGGAAGATATGTCTTTCTTCAGAATAGCTGTGCCGTTTCATGATAAAAGTCGAGTTCTTTCGGAAGTCGAGAGTTCGTTGCTCTTTCGACAACCACGGCAACTATGCGTTTAGGTACATGGAATTTTCGAGCAATGAGCGAGACCGACAGATTTATCCAATTTGCTGCAGAAATGAAACGATTCGAGATGGAGGTGCTTGAAATCAGTGAAACGCATGCAGTTTGAACGACTAAGACCATCTTCAGGACAGCTGCTGTTATAGCCCGGCCATGATGAAGAAATTGCATCACACACGAATAGCTGCACAAAAGCCGTCCAAACAAGCACGAAATGCCGTGATAGGATGGAAATCTCATGGGCCGAGGATAATCAACTCATCCTTCAAAACAAGGAAAGAGGATATTACAATCAACGTCATTCAGTTATATGCACCTCACAGTGAATACAATGAAGTCGTTAAAGATCAATTCTACAAGAAGCTGCAGTCAATCTTCAACATATGCTCATAATAGGATTTAACCATTCTTATGGGTGACTTAAATGCCAATGTTGGCATGCAGAAAACTGGATATAACGACGTAATGGGACGACTTGAAATCGTGGAGTTTCTTGTGCAATGCAACCAACTACTTCTAGTTTAGAATCAATGCCAGTCAAGTCTAGAACTGCATATCACCAGAAATGATAATGAGAGTGTGTATTGATTTTCGTGTTGAGATAATAATTTGACACGATGCTACATAAAGCAACCACGTCTCCGGCAATATCATGGTTAAAATATAAGGCATGAGATGAGGTGCTGAGAAGAGAAGTAAAGAGAATGGGTGCGGCGGGCAGAGCAGAAAATATTCGTGTTGAAATCTGAGTTATGACTTAACAGATACCATTTTGAATAAAACAGATGTATGATTATTCAGACCTTTCTTTCTCTGTATCAGAACACTAACTGAACACGTGCACTCATGTGGGTTAGTCAAAAAGTTATTGGACATGAGAAATAAATTTTCACAAATAATCAAACCTCATCTACCTCATTCAATTGTTATATTCAAATATAGCTTTCATTAGACTGTAATTGATTTCCTGTAGGTTATTATCACAACCATGTAGTCGTTGATGAATGTCAATTTGCTTATACATTACTTTTTTTGGGTTAATATGTGTAATTCCACTTTTGTGTTTCAATTTATTCAATAAATAATGATGAACATTCATTCACTGACAATCAACTATGACTGTTGCTAATTTAATCATACGCAAAATACACATTTATAATGCACCTTATAACTTTTTCTACATGTTTCTCAATTTACTGAATTCACTTTTTATCCTGCATACTGTGATCAAATTCTGATTGCTATTGGATAAATATCTAGTAATCAAAATAGACACGAATTGATTGTTAAACCTTATTCAAATAAATTTTTGAAAAAATTTTGATTTTGATTTTTACAAACCTGAGCAATTTCATAACTCCACTTGCGGATTTACTTCCGGTACAAAGCCTGGATAAATTTTTCAGGAATTAGCATGAGGTAAGCAACCTCATGAAATAATAAATAAACCGCTGAGAATAAGCTAACCTGAAAAATTATGTCAGACCAATAAACGTCTGCCGAATGGAGAAAATCTTCTATTATCACAGTTATGAAGCCTAGGTCTTTCGAAAGTTTTCAGGTGGATGCAGCTTCTAACATCCAAAGCATTCATTAATGGAATGTTTGTGAATTGTAGTAGACCGAGATAGTCCTACAAGCTGCTCCAAAACGTAAATGTAACTACTTGGTATTAAGTGGAATCAGCGAAACACATTGGAAGAAGGTTCGGCAACAAATAATAGTTTTAGGAGAGACTGAGATGTGCTCCAGCCACGAAGAAGAAAATCACTCAAATAAATAAGGTGTTTTATCAGTGTTGTACATAGACAGATATTATGCTTTTGTAGAATGTGAATCTCAACGACCCAGAATCATCAAAGCTCCTTTCGAAACACCGAAACAGGGCTGCTTATCAGTGACATTCAGTTATATGCACCTAATGATAATACGATTGAGTGTGATAAAGATTCATTTAATGAAAGGTTGCTGTAGATCGTCAAGAAATTCCGAACAAAGAAATTTGCCATTCCGATAAGAGAGCTAAACGCCGAGGTTGAAGTGGACAACAGTGTATATGAAAACGTCACGACACGACATGGATTGAGAAAACAGAACGAAAATGCGGAAAGATTTGAAAATACAAATGGTAGAGTAGGTTCAAAAATTCCGGTCTGCGTCCCGTGTTCCTTTGGAAGTAACAGGCGTAGGAAAGCAAGTTTTAAAATTCGTTAATTAGTTATTATCTTATCCTATAAATGATTTTTCAGTGTTTCAGAGGTGGACAATGATTTTGTTATGCAAGCTCACTTTAACAATAAACCGTATTTTAAGAGATAAAGTCAACAGTCAAATAGTGGCACTCTTTGTAACCTACCGTGTATTTAAGTGAGAGATAATCAGAATGAACATGGTGTAAACTAATAGGCAGATAAGGGCAATCCATTTTATGCCTTATATGTAACGGATTTCGTAATTTTGTCTGAGTCTCGAAATTTTAGGATGTACAGTTCATTATTTACATTAATTATGTGTACAAAATGATTGTGATCCTCAATTATATCATAGTGAAAATAGTAATGAGTGCAATAATAATTATTATTATTACTAATTTTGATAGATGTGGGCTGATGTTCCTTGTAGCTACCGGTATTCAAAATAATCCTAAGCTTCATATTCTGCTCATCCTGATAACTGTTACTAGATTCCACCCAACAGTGTCTACATCAGATGACAATTACGAAGCGTTGATGACGTTTATAATCGTGCCACACGAAGATAGAAAAAACAAAGTCACACAAAGTGCAAATGATTTATGCGTTCTGAAGAGCACTTGGTCGAGCGAGTATATGCAATGGAAAATGAATGAGCCATGGAATTATTGAAGCAACTAACATCAAAGTAAGTAGAATGAACATGCACATATGCGGTAAGCAACGCTCAAGCCTAAATGCTTGTAAAAGCAAAACAATATTATTAAAAGCGCAATGCTACCTACATATAAGTTGTTGCCGTACGGATGATTCCGTCTGTTTAATAGGGTGACAAAATGGCTTAACTAAAATTTAAAAAAAACAGACGGAAATGTACGTGAGTGAAGGTAAACCCGTGCTTTCACCATTACAAAAAATAAATATGTTTGCCAAAGTTTGAAATGGTAATTATGTCTGAATATTTTTTTATATATTACTGCAAATTCAGTAAATCACAAGATGTGACGAATTCGATTCAGTAACTAACGTGCCATGAATGTCGTTTAGAAAACAATGTGTTAACCATCTATAATCTTAGACTAATCAATATAATTCAGATACACATAGACTTATATTTCAAAATTCCATTCTATGATAATCTGAACTCATATGTAATCAAGGCATAACATAAGGCTCATTTGTTATATTGTTCAGCAGT